ATTTTAGTAACTTTCCGGTAGATTTCGAAAAAATAAAATTTTTGCCAATTTTCACATTTTTGATAAGGGGTTACATCATGATTTTTTGCAAAAAATGACAAAAATTAAAAATTTTCAGGTTTAAATGCAGATTGATTGAGAATTTTCGTACGAGTTCAACGAGGTATGACATTCCATATTTGGATCATTATTTCAATTTTTATGACCAAAATACTATATTTTTTAGGGTGGATAATCAGGATTTTGATTTTTGGTACAAATTTGAAATTTTTCCTAATCGATTTTTTGCTGTAACTTGTAAAAAAAAGTGTTAGTAAAACAAAATAATTTTAAGATATGATTTTTTTTAATCATTAACATATTTCAAATAAACCCCATAAAATGGTCCCGCAAAAAAGTTTCCCTTTAACAATCAGCCATAGATAAACTATGGTTTTTATTTCGATTTTATTTGTCGAGTCATCGCACTAAAAATCCACTTAGATTCGCATTTATCACCTAGGGTATAAACATTTTCGTTCAGCCACCTCGTTTCTATATATTTTTTGCGACTTTGTTCTTCTGCCCTGGGCTTTTACATTTTTTATTTGTCTAGCTGGTCAGCAGCGCATACAAATAGTTGGTAAATAATTAATGCAAATGAATTTCAAATCACTTTTCAAGGTTACTCTGCACAACCCTTGAGTTTGGGTTTGGGTTAGGATTCGTTTAGTGGGCGATGGAAAGCAGCCCACAAAAAATCGGACAACTTTAGTGGCATTCACGACGTAATTAAGACGAATGTTTTGCCGGAAATTATGCGTTTCCATTTCCATTTGCATATCTGTTTCCTGTTTCCTTTTCGTTTTCTACCTGTAGTAATCCTGGCCAGCCGACTGGCATCAATAAAGCTGTCTGAGAACTGTCAGTAATAACCATTTAATGTCTGCCCATGTTCCCATTCAATTTTTAACTCCGAGCTCATAAAAGATTCAGCAGGACGTTGGCAAACTCCGAGACGCCTGCCAAATACTCCGAATTATTCGTTATTAATGCATTCAGACAGGAAAAACACGGTATCCCTAAGCTCTCCCTTTATATATATGGCAGAACTGGGTTGTAAGTCGGCTGCTTTTTGTATTCAGCCGCGGACTCATGAATGGAGCTCATATTTGCGGGTCACAGGAACAGGTCGCTTTGATAATGACAACTTTCCCCCTTTTGATATTGTAATTAACTTGGTCTTTAGGAGAAAAAAACAGTCATCATTATATGATTTTTTTTTAAGGCGGAAATATTTCTTATTATATTAATAAATTTATTAAAATTTAACTCAGAACTAGCAATGTATTCGAACAGTTAATAAAATTTTAAGCAGACACGTTTTTTTTTTTTTTTTGGGAAATTTATATTTATTATTTAGAAATATTTTATAAAAGATTTTTTTGCAGCATTTTTAGAGAATCAAGCGGATTATTCAATTGATTTTATGAATAGGGTGAACTGAGTATCGCCTTAAATTTGATGTTAAGGAATTAAGCAATCATTTCAGGCAATTAATATTGTAATGGAACGGTTTAGTTGGGACTTAAATGCGTTTTAAAAAAGATTTTCCCATACGAGGATAAATGGAGGCTATTATAGAAAGGCTTTAATAGATAAGGCAATTATCTAAACCTATTTTTTAATTTTCAGATATCTTTTTTTCTTTGATGATTTAACCTCATCTCGAAAACTGATACTCTCAAGAACAAGTTAATTAAATATAATAAATGTGTATAAGCAGACTAAGATTAAGATGACTTGAAGTTTTGTGATTGTCACCCCATTGCTAAATCCATTTGACTCGAATCAATGACTCGGGGAAATTGTGAAGAAAATGTGTACTAATGTGAAAATCATACCTCGAGAGAATCGCAAGATGACGAGATGTGAATCTGTAGAAGGAAGGATATTCCGTAGTATAATAACTGTCTTATAAGTGATAATTTACTACAGGTGCAAATGCGTTAATTGTACAAATATAGTAAGCCTAATTAGGTCCTCAAAAGCAGTGTCAAATATCAGAAATGCAATAAACAAATAAACTTAATCTCTTATAATATTTCGTAAGAAATAATGATGGCTGGTAGCAATATTTATTAAAATGATAGCTAGACGTCGGAAAATGAATTGAATCACTTTCTAAACACGACTTACAGCAAAATTTGAGAGGTTTAAAAAAAGGGATTTTATATACAATCCGACGTCTAATGATAATGTAATATTAATAGTAAGACCATGAAAATACGCATATTTTAAAGTGAAATTATTTTCTCTATGAATCATATCCTATCCCATAATATTAACCAAAGTCCTAAAATCTTTATTACGATACAAACGTATTCTTCATTACTTCTTTCTAAAGATTGATATAAAAATAGCTCGTGGGTTAAAAAAAACGTAAGAAGTAGATCGTATCAAAGGGATTCGAGACTCCATATATAAAAGTAGTATAAATGTTAATACCATGAAAATACGCTTATTTCAAAGTGAAATAATTTCCTTATAAAGCATACTATGCAGAGCACAGCTTCTTTATTATTATTATTAACATTATTCCCATACCATAGTATATAGTTAAATAGCAGGTGAAAAAACCGTAGGAACAAGATCCTATCAATGGGATTTCGGGGACTCCAGATTCCCCTTAAATATTTAGATTGGTCGTAGGGGGTTTTTTAAGACCCTCACTCGAATACTTACAGATGGATTTGGCATGCAGCGTCGCATTTGCTCCGAACTTCGATAGGAGGGACTGTAGCGTCCTGGAAAACAACTGGGCGCTGACATTTTCATTTTATCCGTCGTCGAGTACATCGACATTGTCATGCAGCCGCCGACGAAATCCTCCTCCAGCTTGAACGCCCTGGAGGCGTCGAAAGTGGTTGGCGAGTAAATTTTGAAGCACTTACTGGGACAGCTTTAGCGCGTGTCCTGCATGCAGGACATCAACAGATCAAATCGAATGCACTGGGCCCGCTCTATTGCGCCCTTCTCTTCTCTTTTCTTATTCTTATTTTTCCTTTTTTTCACTTTTCACTTTCGAATTTATTTTTGTATTTCCTCAAGCCGGTTAGTTTCTGATTTTTGAACGCGTTTTGGACAACAAACTGAGCAAAAAAAATCACAGTAAAAAAATGTTGACTTTTGCTAACTAACTTGGCCGCCGTCGGTTAATTGATTTGATTTTCTTTGGATTGTTGGGACTGCAATTGAATCGAGGAAAGCGCGCACTCGCCAAATGAAACGGTTAAACGGTTTGGCGTCGGCGATCGAACTGTTTACCGCTGCGTAGCTGTGGACCCGCGTTTCCCAACTACCGACGTCCGACTTCCTTGCAATCTGATCTAAACGTACCGCTCTACCGCTTCAACCGCTTGACCGCTGTACCGCCGCGCTATTCAAACTAGATATATATATATATATATATATATAAATATTTATTTAGATTATTGAGCCGCTTTTGTGTGTTTCGACAACGAAAACTGAGAAAAACGCCAGCGCACAGGACGAACACAGATTTCACAACTAGACAAGCGCGCGCGTTGTGTTGTGATAAAGAATTCTATGATGAGTTTCGCTAACTTCAGAGTTTATTTTCAATGGGGCGGACGACATGTTTTCATTATTTATCAGCGTGGGCGTGTCCCCCGCTTCTGGGCTGGCTCAAAATGGCCACCGCTGCGCTTATATAATGCGAGCAAAGCCAGGCGGCGACCTTTGATTGGTCGCCCATCGCGGGCGGGCAGCGCTGCCGGCGCCTTCGTTCAGCTGGAATTGGGCAGTCGTCGGTGTGTCTCTACCCGGCGTATCCTTCCAAACTTGACGAAGCCAATGCCAGGCGTTGTTCGGTGGTGCGGCGACTGCGCAGTGCTTACTGGTGAGTGGGTAAAAGTGGGCTAAAAGTGGGTAGTGGGTGGCAGTAGTACCCACCCCCTGGCGAACCTTTCCGAAAATACCGAGCATCGCAATGCCCCGCGTCCAGCATATGGCACAATTTTCTTTTTTTCTCCGCATTTTTAGCCTTTTTTTTTTTTGTCGATTTTTGAGGGGCCTCTGTGGGTGGCGGCTGAGCCTCAACAAAAGGCACAAAACGCCAACGCGGCAGCCAACAATGCCAAAACAAAAATGGGCGGGCATGTGAGTGGGGAAAGGGGATATGGGAGGGGGTAGTGGGTAGGGGGGGTTCTGGAGGAGGGGGTGGGTCAGGGATAGCCAGCAGGTGGGTCAGTTCAAAGGGGGAGGGAGGCCTAGTTGTTGCAGTGCAACTGTTAAAAGCATGCAGCATGGCAAATCACATACAGGGTGCGCCCATTTAAGTAGCCCTTTGACAGGGTTCCTCGTCTGAGGATTACCTAAATATGTAAAAAAATATTTAAAATAAAATAAAAGTTATAAAATTAAATGATTTTTAAAAGAGTAATAAAAACGTATTTTATTTTATTCAATTTTTATTTTGCCTATAATATTTGTTATTTATAGGTACAAAGTTGGAGACTGTTATTTTTATTGTAATGCAGTTTTTTAGCCAACTAATTTCATAATTCGTTTATTAGATTTAAATTCGAATTTGCTTGTAGCGCAGAAAAAAATATTAAATTATATAAATTATATTATATTAAATAAATAAAAACATAAATATATTTTTCTCTTTTTAAAAACACCTAAAAAATATAATTTCAAAAACAATTTAAACAGTTATTAAAATCGTCATTGTGGCGCCATCTATGCGTGAAACCATATTGCTTGTAAAAAAGAAACGAACACAACGAAGAGCTTTTAAACAGAATCCTTCAAGCTTTCGAAAGCTTAGTCAGCTTTTAAGGAGATCCTGAAAGCTCGCAAAAGCCATTTTAAATCCTTTTCAAGGACTTTTCCTAGCTTAATTCGTTTTCTCATAGGCTCTGAAAAGAAGAAAAGCTCTCAGGACCCAAAAGCCTGCTCAAAATCCAACCCAAAAAGTAAAAGAAACTTTCGCATTCGGTTTTTAAATCCACTTCATTGTTTCTCATTCGATTTTTTTTTGGTTTTTCGATTTCGTTTTTGTACAATTACCTAATACGTTCCATTGTTAATATTTCACAAGTTATTGTAGAGTCGTGTATAAAACTTTTTACAAGGATAGTCTAATATGGGACCTCAACGTGGCCAAAGGATAAGTTGCGGATGAGTTGAGTTGAGTTGCGTTGAGTTGGGTGAGCGATGAAGCACAACATGGCCTATAATGAATTTCATAAATTCGTTCAGGAATCATAATACCTTGTTGTATAGCCTATATACCAAATACGTACGTACAATAACCTAAAGTTATGCGTCTCTATATAATAATAAAATATATCATACCTAATGCTTAAACGTTAAACACAAAACACAAAAAAATTTGAACTAATGCGCCAAGCGAGCAGCAAACGATTGGGATCTGATTCGGGTGGGGGTGGCGAAATTCTGGGGGACTATTTCCAGGTGAGATCTATGTGTGGTCCTACAAATCGCTTGATGAATGCAATTCCGGTTGCCTTGTGCATCTTGGTTGCAATTTGTGCTTTCTTTCTTTTTGTATTCTTGGTGGTACGAATTCGATTTCCCATCTCGTTGCCCAGAGTTCTTCTATAGTATATATTATATCCTTTATCCTATGGCTCCTGGCGCCCCAGCAAACCGTAGACGATGCGCCGACGCTCCTGGACCTCCGCCCGCATGGACTCCGTGTAGGGATCGAAGTTCAGCAGCCGCTTCTTCCGCCGGAAGATGCCCTCCTTCCGCATGATGGCGCACCGCATCAGCTGCTCGTTGACCGGAAACTGCAGGAACTCGAGGATCGATCGCAGCTCCCGTTCGGTGTGGTGAACGAGGTCGTCGTAGAACACCACCTTGATGCTGCCCGTGAAGTTGCGCGCCCAGCTGAGGTTCATCACCTCCCAGCCCTTGAGCTTATTGCTCACGAACTGCTGCCAATCTGTAAGGGAAATATATTCTTAAATAATCGAAAACATATTGTAAAAACTGCTTTAAAAGTTTTAAATTTATTTAAACCTATTAAATAAAAAATCTAGAAAAATCAGATACCCGTTACTAAGCTAAAGGGAGTGCAAGCAGTAAATCCACTGCTTGCACTGCTTGCATTCACTCACTTTTATTTGCGCATAACTTTTTAATAAATGGTCCGATTTAAAAACTTTCTTCTACATTTCGATAGGTATTGATAGAAAAACGAAATGGAATTTTCACTTTTTACTAATTTTTCAATTAATGATGGAATAAAAAATGTATGCTTGGAAAATTGTTATACTGTAAAATCCTAAAATCATCTAGTATAATATCATTACTTAAAAGCACCTCCAAAGCGACAAAATAAAACAGAATGAGCCCGGCAATATAATTAACGACCAGCCTAATAGCTTCCAAATCATAATTGCCCCAATTAGACTTAATTAGTTAGTGACCCCCTATGCATAACTATGATATTATATTTCCCAGAGCCCAGAGAAGACCTACATTTTCCCTTGGTGCGCTTGTAGCGATCCGGCGATGCGAAACCGATGTGCCCGCCGCTCTGGCGATTGAACTCGGCGATGATGGCCTTCTCCGGATCGCGGACGAGCAGGATGGCCTTGGCGAAGGGCGCCCACGCCTTGCTGCCCCACTCGTGGGTCTTCACCAGTAATACTGAGCTGTTGCAGACGTTCTCCGCGGGGAAGCCGGTCTTCAGCAGGCCGTAGTCCTTGTAGATGCTGCCCGTCAGGATGCCGGTGGACTGCTGGAGCAGGTAGCGCAGCCAGGTGTTTCCGCTGCCGGGGAAACTGGCCAAGGCGGTTAGCGCCGGCAGGGATTGCAGGGCGGCGCTCATGTCGCTGGGCAGGGCCGCTAGGGGGTTCGAAAACGGGGTTAAATGGGATGAAAAGCTGGTGGAGCCACTCCAATACTCACTGTAGAAGTCGGCCTTGTAGTCCGCGTAGATTGGAAGATCTCGATTTATGTACTTCAGGTCGCGACACCAGCGTATCGTCATCTTGCGGCTGGGCATCGGAAACCGAGGACTATGAAAGCTGGGGAACTGAGGGTTAAAAAGGGGAATAAAAAGTTAATAGTTAATGGAGTATCTTTGAAATTAAAATATATTCTTTTAAAGTACATTATACATTTTTAAGGCACTTTATTTATTATTAGATAAAAAGTGTAAATATATTTATTTATTTTGAGGCAAAATAATGCTGAGTTAGAAATCAAATGTTTAAGCCGGAATTAATTATAAATACTTTTACAAATTTATTTATGTTTACAGCTGATTTAAAAATTTTATTTATTAATGAAAGGCTGTAAAAGGTCGGATTTACTTGTACGACGTTAGTCATCTTGCTTTTGCATGTGTGCTTTTGCTAAACGAATTATTTTTAAGGCTATAGAAAAGCCAATAAGTCGCGATTAACGACATTCAATCCATACACTTGAATTATTTACGTATATTATTTATTATTATAGCAGAACATTTAAGGATATTATCGAATATTTTCCTGCTATTTTCGTTCATTTTTTTGCCCATTAAATTTAGGGAAAATTCGTGACTCACCTCGGCGAAGCGTTCGATGCGCGGTCTTTTGGGATGCGAGCCGGGTATGTTGTTCATGGACAGGAACAGGACGCCGCCTATGTAGATGATGATGGTTGCCGAGACACCGAAAAAGCGCCAGCCTTGTAGTGCCATATCGCCGTCTTTGCATTACTGAAATGCGAGATATAATCGGGTTTGGTTTTGGATTCCAGATTCTATTTTTTGTATGTAAAAATAATTCAAATGAACATGCTCGCATTAATGAAGCCAATTATCTGTTTCACAAGCCGAATCAATTTCGGTTTATGTTTTGTTGATTTTGTTATGACAACGAAACAAAAATGCGAAAGGACCAGAAGCCATTTCCATTTCCGCGAGCTCTCTCACTTGGCCAACTTGACTAACTTGGCCCGAAAACGGCTCCAACTTGGTAACCCCGACAACTCGACAGTCGGCCAGTCAGTGACAACAGCGAAGACTTGAGTTTGGGTTGCAAATGAAAATTGAGAAAAAGGAAAAGCCCACCCAGAGGCTTTTCCACGCTGACTTCATTTTTTTTTGGGTCCTCAAATGATTGATATGGTGTCTTACATATTGATAGAGGTCCCCCTGGTTGACTAATGGCCAATAATCATTAGAGGTGGAGAAAGTTAAACAACGCAAGTAATTTGGAAAAATTATAAAAAAATTAAATAAAAAATGTTATTTATACATTTCAGAAAAAAAAAGGAATTTTAACAAAAAAATATTGAAATATATAATATAATATAATATAATATATATGCAAATAGTTTTATACAGATTATATTATTTATAAAAAATTCAAAATATCTAAACTAACATTAGTATAAATGGAAAAAAATGCTTTCAAAATCTAAGATAATTAAGCTTAAGTTTTTATTATACCTATTATACCTCAGCTTCTGCACTACAATCAAAAGCAGCTGCTTTCATACAATGATTAAAGATAATCTCGACCTGTTCAGAAGATAAGAAGAGACTTTGTGCTGGAGAACACTTCTTAATAAAGCCTTAAATACCCCTTGTAAAAAAGGGCATCAGTGGAGGGTAAGGGGAGCAAGAGAATAAAAGCCTTGTCATGCCTTCAACGGAATTCCTTGAGCTGCATAAAACGCTCACGAAATCCGCAAAAGGACACCCCGTCACAAACACACACACACACATGCATGGCCCACACACGCACACACATGCGAAAGACAAGCAGCTAAATGCGAAAATTTATGCAACAGCTGGGCAGAGGCGGCGAGGGGTGCCAGAAAGGTCCTCGTCCTTCGTCCTTGGCCTATCCGGATCCTTGAGCCACCGACCGATACACTTTGGCCTGGCCCAAAAAATGTATAGAAAAAAAAACCGCAGTGGAGCCGCTGGATGATGATATAAGATACGGGCACTTCTTCCGGGGTGAAGAACGCGAAACACCCCGGAACTTCTTGAACCACCCACCCCACATTCACATCCACTTTCACATCCACGGTGGTGCTGAATGGTGGTGGCCCAAAAACTAGTTCAACGCTGAAACAAGACGCAAACAAAAACAAAACCCAAGGCGGAAAAAAGGAGAGCGGCATAAAAAATAGGAAAGCTAAAGGTACACTGGGGAAAATTAACAAAAACCATTCAAAAGAGAATATAAAAAAATTGTATAAATGCACGAAAATTAATAATCATGAAATAAAAAATTTTCTAAAATCTTTGTCTACCCTAAATATTTGCTAATTTATACGTTTCATTGTTTTCAAGTGTTAATTAATAAATAATAAAAAAAATATATTTTTCAAGATCTATGCTAATTATTTTGTTGACGCTGCCAGCCTTTTGGCAACTTTATTTATTCCAATAAATTCCAATTAAATTCAATCGTCATAATAGATATTTATTTGGCTTTATATTGCGGGGCAAAGACAACGACAATGTATTTCTCTTCCGATCAATGAGCAACCACAATTAGAGTGACAAATAGTACATATATAAACTTTATTTTATTTTTTCTTTACGATTTCTTAAATTTGTTTTTACCCTAAATGGTTTACTGTGTAATGTTTCCAAGTGTTTTTTATTTTTTTTTTAATTTTTCTCAGTGCCTGCAAGCGACTATATAATGAAATGGCTCGGCAGCCGCAAAAGGGAAATAGAGAAATATCATAAAAAATGGGCACCACAAGATATTCGGAGGGGGGGTGAGAAGGGGTTGGTTCGCTGCTTGTTCTCTGGCAATAATTTGATTGTTTTGCGGCATAAATCAGACAAAAGCCACGCACATTAGCGCAGAATATCAGAAAAGCTGAATGGGCAATGCAGGTGGAACGAAGGCCCAGCCCACAGGTTTACATAATGCTAGGCCCCCTCCCATAAAAAAAAAGGGGGTTTACCCATCAAGAGCTCCCTCCCCATAAATATGCATTTTGATTGCGAGAGCCAAAGCCAAACAAATGTGCGGAATAATCAAAAATAAGCACACACAGCAAGGGCGATCAAATAAACAATGGGTTCGGTAAACGAAAATAATGCGGAAAAATCGCTGATAGTACATTTCGAATTTTTGCCATTCTTTCGCACATTTTCGTATCGCCCATTTGTTCGATGTAAACAAATAATTTCGTGCGAATGTTTGTACAACTTACCGATACCGATTCCGGATCCTTGCCCCCGTTTTCCTTTTTCCCGTTTTCCCGCACAGCACAACAGCCACAGAACCACCGACACGAACACACGCCCAGAATCAGAATCAGAATCCCAGCTACATGTCAAACGAGAAAATTCGCAATCCTTCTGATAAATAAGGGGAGTCACAGGACTCTCGTTTTAAAAACACCAAGCAGCTCCACACATTGCAAAACACACTTGCACTTGCTTTACAGGAAAAAAAATCACTGGGAACAAAAAACAAACAAAATCCGGCAGCAGCAACAACAATCGTTAGCCAACAGGGCCAAACAAACAAAAAACGGCAGCAAAACAAATGTGAACTATTTATTTCGTGCCCACACGTCGTATGCGCAATGTTTGGGGCGCAGTCGCTGCCGCTAGCTAAAAAATATACGAAATCCGTCGACTTTTCTGTGTGTGCTGCGTGTCCGAGAATTTCTGAATTTCTGAACTTCTGATTTCTGGCGGAATCCCAAGCAGCATCGCTGATTCGGGGGATGAACGGAAAGCTTTTTGTTTCTGCAGCGTTGCCACCACCGCAAGCTGTAAGCTCCGCCAGCAACCCCTTTTTATCACCATCATCAGCTGGGCCTCGTTTTTTAAGGGCTTTTGCGATTTTCAAAACTCTGCGCAGGCGCTTAACTCGTCAAGAGTTTCTCACAGTGCCCCATAGGTGGCGTCTTTAACAAACAAACTTCAATTGATTGAGTCCCCAAAATAAAAAGCCTAAAATAAGCTTATTTCAAATGGAACACTGCTTTTATAACTTTTCTGGAGTCTGAAGAACTTTATTGTTAAATTTTTTGTACTTTCCATAGGAAATGATCTGTAAAACAAAACAAAAACAAAAATGCATTTAAATTTGATATGATAAGGGGCACATTCTACCATACTCCATACTCAAAAATATCAACTAGATGTTTTATCAAATCAGTTATTTAATGAAAATTATAAATATTCAATTTTCAAATACCAAATTTATTTATTCATAACAAAATGATACTTGACTGGTTAAAACTTTAAACCCAGAATAATGTATCTCTGGAAAATAAAAAAAAACACTCCTTGTCACTTTTTTTTCTCTTTTATTCAAATAAGTTTTGTTTGCTTCGATTTCGAATTCTCTTTCATAATTCATATTTCATATTTCACCTTGCCTGCACGGGGATTTCACTTGCTTGCACTTGCCTCATCGGTTTGTTTTTGGGTTCGTACTTAGGATCGTATTATTTTGCAGCAACATCATACCTTGTGGTGAGTAAAAGTTGATATGATGTAGATTTGGCACACTACAAAGTAACTCGCAACCGAAGGCAAGTTTGTGTTAAGTATTTCACTTTTTTATTTGCGCTTCTTTAACATGTGCTAATTTCTTTGTTTGCTTTTGCTTTTTCATTTGCTTGCTTGGGGTTTAGTTCTCAATTTAGTTTCGTTTAAATTATCTTTTGCGTATAATTTCACTATAAGTACATTCTGTTTAGTATTCGGTCAACGTTGCGAAATTAGCAATTAGGAGAAAAAAATATATATAACATGTATTTATACATTTATATAGGAATTTACTCTAGACTCGTGGGACTCATTATGCGCTACCTTAAACTAATGTATAAAAATATCGGTAACTTAAAGACGAGCAATTTAAAATGTAATATTTAATTTAAAATCAACAACGACAACAATCCGCGGTATGTGGTATTTGGTATTCGGTATTCAATGCAATATAGTACAATACGGATACAGATACAGATACGGGGTAGGTCATAGGTCATAGGTCGTATCGTTAAAAACAATCTCTCGATTAAAACAATGATCATCCATATACATAATTGACTCACATAGCTTTTCGTTGGCTGACAACAATTGAACCGAGAGTGAGTGGTGCGAACTTAGGTTAATATTACATATAGAGGGGTTCGGGAAGGGGGGGCCTATATAATGGGTGCTTGGCTAGGGGGTATATCTATCGATGATCGATCTATCGATCGGCTACCTTCTTCTGGTCGATAACATACTCTCTCTTTTTATGGCTTTATTATCATTTAACTTGCTAGGTTTTCCCTTTTTGTGTTTACACATTTGGCTTTTTTTGTTGGTTTTTGTTTTATAAAAAAGAGACAAAAAAACATTTTGTGGTCCCTGGCGTATGTAATTCAATTTAAATGGTTTTCCCTGGCCTCTTTCAACAAAGGAACCCGATAAACGACTAAATCAAAACCTTATAGAGTTACTTCTGCTCCATTTTCATTTTCATTTTGCTGGCTGTGTCTTGAATTACATAAGTGTTGTTGTGCTTGTCGTTTGTCTTATTACATTTAGTTGGACTGCTTAGCTGGCTGTGACCCATTTAAGTTGTTGCATTTGTGAAGTTTGAGAATTCCTTGAGAATTCCTTGTTCCTTGAATTTCAGGTCTTGTATCGTGGACTAGTTGGTGGAGAAAGACAGTTTATGAAGGGAAAAACGATGTTTCATAACAAGTTTTAAATCATAGTCGGCAAAATATATTTATCCAAAGATCGAAGAACATTTTTGTAGATTTTTAGAACTGAATAGTAAAACAAAATTTCATTTTTAAATTCATATCTGTAAAAAATCGGATTTCCCTTTGATAGTCTGATGTTTTTAGCTAGCAATCGGTACCTATCGATGTTTAAACAAAATCATCGATAAAGACTGATTTCTAGCTGAATTTCCCCCACCTGAGAAACAGTTACTTGGATAGATTTTCCATCTATTTCTATCCAAATTGTATGAGTTTGTGTTCCTTGCGTGTGTGTGTGTGTGTCTTAGTGCGCTTAGTACAGTACGATAGTTATCGATAGCCAAGATAGCCAGAGCGATAGTAAGTGGCTTGAGTAGAGTACAGTACAGTTTAACATCCTTTTTGCGGCTAGTTGAAACTACGAAACTCTAGAGTTGGGTGTCTAACTTTTCACTACGGACTCTACCGTCTGAGATTAGTGAGTGCGTCTAGGGCCTTGGCTAGTAACTGTCTTTAGTTAAGCGATTAGTTCAGAGCAACGATAAATCAAATGCAAAATCAACAACAATCAACAATCGTGTTCCTTGTTCCTACAAATATGTAGTCTTGAGATACATTTTTTATTTTTTTTTTGCTTGGTAGAAGGGAGATGCTCGGTTTCGAAAGAGATCTTGAGTTGCACTAAACTACTTAAGTGCTAGGGTTGCCCTTCTTATAGCGAGATAGTGTCTCTAGTTAGTGGAAGGAGTGGGAGGTCAAAGGGCAAGCGTGAGATCGGGTGAACGAAACCGAATGGATGCATGGGCGTAGGATCGTAGGATCGTAGGATAGAGGGGGCTAGTCTAAGTTTTCGATAGGTTCGACTAACGCTTAGATAGGCTTAACAGCTCGAACTGAGGGTGTTCTTCTTTGTAACAAGTAAATCGCTAATCTACGCATATTATAGGCTCTATATTTAGATATTCGTATGCAGGTGTAGGTATGCCTTATGTGTATGTGTCTTTTTGGTGTATTTGCTTGTTTCTTTGTTTGTTCGTTTTGGAAATGGGTTGTTGGCCTGTTCTATTTCAAAAACATTTGTCCGAATCGATTAGTATTTAAAATGTTTCTTAAATAGTTCTCTATATATGTTATTAAAGCTTTCGGTTTTCATTACACTAGTTCATATATAGATATATAACTATGTATATTTCTGTGTATATATATATATGTACGTACTTAAAATATATATGTATATATATGTTCCATAGTCTCTAACAATAAGAGGTATATACATCTGTAGAGAGACCCAGGCCCCCGTTGTCCACAAGCTAAACTGAAAGCTGATTTGGGTTTGGATCCAGATAATTGGGATGCACAGTGGTTGCAGAGTTGCAGATACATACAAAATGAACAAACATGCACATCGTGGGCATGGACGTTTTTCAGGACGGTTTAATGTGGGAATTATCATCTCTTTCTAGCACACACACACTTGCAAACACTCACTCACAAGGTCACACGAATTTTAGAAGAATTTAACCGGAACAAGGAAAAGTAACAGTTAAATTAACTAACGGACAACTAGTTTATAATTTGAATTCAGCTAGGAATTTATAAATTAAATTTAATACGTTAACCAAAGAGTAAAAAATTTCAAACGGACAAAGCTCCCTTAAGCGGACAAAGATAACCTCCGGTTAAAATGGGTATAGTGCTTAGGATGATGATTTCGAACAGGGGTGGGAACACTCTCTGGCTATTTGTGTGTTGTTTCTCGGTTTTTAGTAGTAGTTTGCTTTCGTTAATTCTACATTTCATTTATATATATATATATATCTATATATATATCTCATTCGGGCTTTACTTTATACGTGTATATCTGTATATATCGATCTCTTTTTGCTGGGGGCGTTTTTTTCGTTAGGGCTAAACATATATAGAATATAGATCTATATGTCCTCACATATCCTTAGTTTTCATTTTTCTTTATATCATATACATATACATAGTTCTTGTACCACGGTAATACTGTCCTAATTCCATTGCTTATTGGTTGTCTGCGGTTGTAACTTGCTTCTGGTTGCGATTGGTTGGGGTTGGGTTTTGGGAATGGGCATCTGGGGAACTGGTAAGATTTCGTTTTCGATTTGGTCGTGATTATAGTTCTCAAAGCTTGTCTTTATCACGGTCGATGCTCATTGCTTTAAAGATTCCGCGCCCGATCCCGTAGCGCAGATTGAACTGATCCAAGCTCGAGGCCCTCGGACGCTGGCTGCCGCTCTGGTGACCCAGGGAAGTGGATGTGGAGGTGGCTCCTCCAGAGCCCGAGGCTCCTCCTCCAGTCGTCGTCGTCGGCGGATCCACCGAAGATCGCGACCTGGCCAGCTGCTCCTCCATGTCCGTCTCACTGAACTCCGTTTCGGTGTCGCTGAACTTCCGGCGGCGCCGCAGGAAAGTGCTGCAGTGCCTCAGCTCGCCGAGATTGTCGGGATTGAGGGAGTGGCCCCGCTTGCGCTCCTGCCGCTCCATTTCGGCGGCCAGCATCCGCACCTCCCAGTCGTTGTGGCTAGCGGATCTACCACCAGTGTCGTTTAGATCCTCATCCTCGCCGGGAAGACGCGCCGCTGGATCTAGCTCCTCCTCCTCCTCGTCGTCGTCGTCGTCGTCCTCCACCTCGGCCATATTGATTTTGCTGGACGAGGAGCTCGAACTGGAGCTCTCGCCAATGTCCAGGATCACGCTGTCCGACAAGCGGGCCAGATTGCCCGTCACATCCGCCACCATGACGGCACTGTTTGATCCGCTGTCCGCTCCTCCACCTCCGCCGCCGCCTCCTCCTCCACCGCTCCACTCGCGATAGCCACTGCTACTGCGACCACTGCGTCCGTTGCCCTGCTGGGAGCTCTGCCCCGAGTAGAAGCTCGGGTGGCTCTGGGCGTGGCGGGAGCTGAGGGAGAGGGAGCCACCGGGTCCGCCGTAGTAGCTGCTCGGGCAGTTCAGGGCGTTCGCCGAGGCAGCGTGATGGCGACTCGGGCCCGGCGATATGCTGCGCCTGCCGCCCCCAATGGGCGGCGATGAGGTGAAGACCGTGTCCAGGGAGTCCCCGCGCTGCAACAGGGAAAGGATTAAAGGATTAGTCAAATGTAACACACATTAAATAAAATTAATATAAATTTATAACGGATTTTTTAGGGTGAAAAATGTGGATTGGAATTTTCGATGAAAATAATCCTTTTTTTATTGTTTTTTAGTCGTAGCTTGAACAATTCAAGGCCTACAGCTAAAAGACCGACTGTTTTGAACAGCTAACAACCTAAGCTAACGATCCCCATCACTTTCTGCGAAATTTATTTTTAGATCAATTTTTCCAATTTTTTGCGAAAAATGACAAAAATTAAAAATTTCTAAGTTTAAATGTGAGTCGTTAGGAAATTTAATTACGAGCTCATCAAGGTATGACACTCCATATTTGGATCATTAGTTCCATTGTTACGACCAAAAAACTGATATTTTAGGGTGAAAAAAATGGATTTAAATTTTCGACGAAAATAATCTTTTTATGGTTTTTTAGTCGTATCTTGGACAATTCAAGGCCTACAGCTAAAAGACCGACTGTTTTGAACAGCTAACGACCTAAACTAACGATTCCCATCACTTTCTGCGAAATCAATTTTTTGATCAATTTTTCCATTTTTTAATGATGGTTACATCACAATTTTTTGCAAAAAATGAAAAAGTTAAAAATTTCTCAGTTTAAATGCCAATTGTTAGAGAATTTAATTACGAGCCCAACAAGGTATTGCATTCCATATTTGGATCTTTATTTTCATTGTTACGCCCAAAAAACTGATATTTTAGGGTTAAAAATTTTCGACGAAAATAATCTTTTTTTTATGGTTTTTTAGTCGTATCTTGGACAATTCAAGGCCTACAATTAAAAGACCGACTGCTTTGAACAGCTAACGACCTAAACTAACGATCCCTATCGTCATATTTATAATTTGTGGAACTATTTCCCCAACACAAACTTACCATAAACAGAAGCTCCGCTGAAGATCCCGAACTGCTGTTGTCCTCCTCCTCGGGCGGCTCATCGTCGTCCACCGACAACTGGGACATCTTCTCGCGCTTCTGCCGCCGGCTGAGTGGCAGGACCAAGGACGAGGATGTGGATGCCGCCTGGGCCGAGGACCTGCCCTCGATGGAGCGCAGCTTGAGCTGCAGCTGGGCGATGATGGCATCGCGACGTCGCACCTCGCCGGCCATGCTGGAGAACTGCGTCTCGAACTTGGAGTGCATCTCGTTCATGTGCGTCTTGATCACGTGATTAATGCCGCTGAGGATCTGATTGAAGTAGTCCTGTGCCTCCGGGAAGCCTTTAAGTGCAAGATCAGACATCGTTGTGAGTACGCAATGGAACAATGGATGGGGAAGTACTTTGTGTGTTTTGCATTTGCATTTGCATTTGTTTGGGTAAAAGGACATTCAACAGTATTTTTTGTATTCCAGAGATTTACTGAGATTTACTACATCAAATCAGGCTGTGGGTGTTAAAGCGTTTTGTTTAGCACTACATACTTAGGTTTTAGCACTCGAATACAGTTGACTTCGCGTAACGAAGCTTTGGATACCAATGCATTTGGAAAGGAATTCGGAATTTTGGGCTTCTATATTCACAGGATAGGACAGAAAAAAGATATACAGTGCTCCATTTGCATTGGCATTGATACATACGCACATCCTGGACAATTATTTACATTCTCATTCGCAATATCATTACCATTACCATTACCATACAAGTGTTGTACCGCCTCGTCGATTTGGTATCTATATAGTAAGTATATATTTACACGATCGTGTTCTTTGTGTGTGTTTTCATTATTTATATTGTATATATACAAAAGCATGGACAAAGTGTGGCAGTGTGTTCTGTGCTGGTTTTTAGTTACATCATGCTCTCTTAAGGATCTTTAGCATCCATCATGGCGGCTGTTTCATTCCATTTCGTTTCCAAAGCGTGCGTGACTGTACTTCCGCACATCAGCTGAAAAACTTCGATCTATGCACATTCCGTGATTTAAAGCAATGTTTACCATTATTTACTTGAGCTTTTCTTGGTTTTTGTTTTGGGTAAAACCTTGAGAAGGTGTGGGTTAAAATGCAGGTAAAAAGAAATAATTCTCTTGGGCCTTTTAATAAAGTATTAGAAAAGTTCTCAGGATTATTTAAGGATCTAAAGGAGTTAAACATTAAATATTACACGTTTCAGGTTATGAGAAATATCAAAAATTTGTAAAATATAATCCTAGACGATCTATCTTTCAAACATGAGATAGAAAAAGTATTTAAAACTAAAAGTTAAATATATTACGTTACAGGGTTACAGGAGACCCTTGGTAAATAAGGTACTAGTATAACGTTTTCACGTGTTTGAGGATTTTTGTACAGAGTATTTTAAGCGATTCGGTCATGCAAAGAGTTTGGTTAGAAAGAAGGGGGTTAGACGATAGGGTTTCAGGTAGAGCTGGAAAAGTATCGACAGTATCGATATTCTCGATATTTTTAATAAATTTAATATTTTGACGTTCTTTTATAAAATTTTAAAGATTTTTCTTTTCTTATAACATCCATATTATCGAAATCTATCGAAAATATCGATATTTTCCCAGCTCTAGTTACAAGGAAAGTTGAAAAAAGCTGGGCAAAGCGAGAGAATGTTAGTAATGTGCGAGTATTTGTGACTCGCATACACATGCTCAAGTGTATCATTGTGTCGGTTTTAAAATATGCTCAAATAGAGAAAGAGAGAGAGAGAGAGTTACAATAGCGATAGCGATAACGATAGCGTGTTTTTTTTCGAACAGAATAAATTCTGGGAAGGTGAAGACAAGCGTTGCTTTGGTTTTCGATCTAGTTACTTTTCGTGATCTGGCTATATAGCTAATCCATTATATTTACCTTCGAGCCGGGGACCGGGAACCGTTCCGCCCATGGACGTCGCACTGGTCGTGTTCTGCCTGAGCTGCAAATTCAAATTCAAATCAGTGGTGGACTGGGCGTGTAGGATTTGATTCGACGACGACAGCGACGACGACGAGCACTCGACGACATACGAGGCGGATGCGGATGTGGACGCGGATGCCGATGCGGATAAGCCAGATGCTCCAGCCGCTGGAGGCACTACCTTGCCGGTTCCGCCCAACTCCCCCGCCTTCAGTTGGGCGGATTCCTGCGGCGTATTCGATCCTGATCCTAATCCTGAAGAAGCGATAACTGGTGGCACCGGAAACGGAAACGCCCGCGGTGAAGAAGGTGAAGAACACGCATACGCACTGTTGTTGTTCGAACGCGAGTTAGCACTATTATCGTTACCGTTATTCACCGAACCCGTAACCGAACCCGCACCCAAACCCAAACCCGAACCCAAGGGAGATTCCAACTCCTCCTTGGCACTGGCGGGCGGGCTGGAAAGAGTGGAATGGAAGGTTACACTCTTCAAGAGCTTACTGTGCCTAGCCACGTACCCTTCCAAGGTTGGCTCGGCCATAAGACCTTGGCCTGACCTTTGGCCACCCGTTACCGCCGATCCCGCCGCTACCGCCGCCGCCTCCTCCTCCTGACCACCGCCCATCTGGAGCTTCTTGAGTATGCTCTTCAGCTTCCTGCGCTCCATGGTCTCATTCGATTCGGGACTCAGGGGCAGCGGTACATACTGCAATTGCCGCGAATTGCTATCCGATGCGGATGCCGAAGCGGATGCGGATGCCGAAGCGGATGCCGATGCGGATGTATTGGTGGATATCGAGGCGGAGCTGGTGGTCGACTCGTAGGTGCTGAGGAACTGCGAATAGATGCCGGACGTATCGCTATAGCAGCGATACAGTGACTCCGTGATGGGCACCTTGCTATCTGTTGCGGATTTCGAGCAATCCAGGCTGAAACTCCGCGTTTGCAGCGCTCTCTCCAGTTCGGCCAACTTCTGGCGCTCGTTGAGGATCTTCAGCCGCTTGACAAACGGCAGGCCGCAATATTCGGGCGATAGATCAAAGACGCTCTGGTACAACTTCCGCCGACCTCCATTGCCGCTCAGTTCCGTGAGCTCGCCGTCGGGAAGATGCTGCTCCGGCTTCTGGAGACGCAGGCAATCCCTCTTCTGGCTGGTGGTCAATGAGCCATTGGATTGATTGCTGGCGGAGCTAGCCGCCTGCTGCTGTTGAGGGTGATGCGGATGCGAGTGCGGATGCAAATGCGGATGCTGATGATGATGATGACCATGGCTATGGCGAGGTGATCTCGCGCTGCTCCTGGCGCTGTGATGACGAGGTCGCTGCTGATGCGAGCCATCCATCTGCTGGGGAATATTGCTCAGCGAGTAGTTCTTCAGCGGCGACGAGGTCATGACCAAATCATCGGGCGAGCAGTTGGTGAGGCTCGTGTAGCTGGAGGACATCAGGGTGGCCAGCTTGAGCTTGGACCACGGCTTGATGGGCGTCCCATCGGTGTCCGTGTCGGATTGCAGGGGCGTGGCCATGCGATGGGTTGGACCAGCGGTGGGTTTGACCACCCTCTTCGATATGGTGGCTATGCCGGAGCCCAATCCCATTCCCAATCCAGCTGTCACCACCGGATCCTCGGTAGTCACATGCTTGGCCACCAAAGCCAGTGACTTGGGTGGCTCCTTTTTGGCTATGGCTCCCGTGCTCGCAGCTGGAGAACTGCTGGCTCCTCCTCCTCCTCCGCCGCCGCCCTGCATTTGCTGGATCTTCTGCTTGAAGGAGACCTTCATGATGGGCTTGATCTGGGCCACCGTCAACGATTGTCCAAGGCCACCACCATTTCCAGTTCCTATCGAATCTATCTTGCTGCTGATGTTGGGCGGCGTGTTGACCTGGATTTTGGTGATTTCATCGGGTTAGAGGGAAAAGTTTCGAGAAAGAAAGATGATGGGGTTCATTAATACGGCAGATGAAAGATCTATGAATGATTAGTCCTTTTCTCATGCTCCGGTTAAGCAAAATCTTTAACTCTTAGTGGCCCATCGGTTAACTGGAGAATGAGAAAGCAGTTAAAATTCAAGGCTTTGAAAAAACGAATCCAACACTTGTTTCTGTCATCTTGGGAGACTAAGGATTAAGGATTCTTTCTGAACTACATGAATTTACGGGAGACGAACTTTGGAAAACTAGAACTCTCTAGGGAGGTTATTTTGTTGACGTTCCGGTTAAATTAACTTTAACTTTATCTAACGAAATGATTTCATTGTACAAAATAATCTGTTGACCTCACAGTAAAGTTAACGAGAGGTTACTTTTCAATGTTCCGGTTAAATCTATCTACCTTCTAGTTATTTATTTTTTTTATTTATTTTTTTTTTTTTGCTTTACCATGACGACGCCGGGTTCGGCGGCGTTTGCCTGCGGCTCGTTCTTAATTTTCAACTGCTGCAGTCGCTGGATCAGGGGAAAGCCTTCGCTGAACTCGCGTTCGGGCTCCTCCTGGATCGATTCCTGCGGCGATAACGTACACGTTACATGTGAGTGAGGTGGAGATTTCTGTGGTGGTGTGGACTTAACAGCTCGCTCTTCGCGATCCTAGTGCAAGACACATAAAGACACATACAAAACTACTGTTTAGGAGCTGGGGATAATTACATACAACACGAATTGAATTTCTGGATCGGGCGTTAATCATTTCGGAAGCTAAACCAAAGTAAAACGATAAATGCCAAAGAAATCATGACTTAAGTGGGCAATGTCAGCGATAGTGTCCTCTGTATTCTGTTCGGTTCATTCTCCTGTCACTGAATTCGTATATTCGTATATAATATGTATGTTCCATTTTGAAAATCAAAAGTTATGGTTAGTTAATATATTTATGTTTTCTAAGCGGAAGCAGGGAACTATTGAAAGCGTCTCTATATAAGCTCAAATCAGTTACAGAACAGCCCTTCTATGGTATAGATTTTCCTAAAAATATTTGACAGATTAATAGGTTTTTGTAAAATTCGAAATACGCGAATTCTTTAGCATTAAATTTTCAAATATATAATTCTGAGAAATTCGCGAATTCTTTAGCATTAAATTTTCAAATATATAATTTTGAGAAATACGCGAATTCTTTAGCATTACATTTTCAAAGATATAATTTTAAGAAATACGCGAATTCTTTAGCATAAAAATTTTAAATATTATTTTTAATATAACAATTTTTTCTCTGCTTTAGCTATTTGCTTTCGACTGCCAGCTAAAGCTTAAAATTGCATTACGTGCTCGATTGCAATAATGAAGATCTGCGGAACTAGCACATTTATTCTGGGTGGATCTGAAGGTGCACTAACAACTTGTACAAACTGCATTACAATATATGGAGTCGAAACAATGTACACATATGTATGCAAGTGTCGGTGGGTGTGGATGTGTTTCATAAGTACTATTTATAAAAAATCAGTATCCGTTTTTTGGATACAACAGACTTCGCACTGTTTTCCATTAGGCTGTTGTTTGTGTTCTTGTGGGCGTGTTGGTTTGTTTTTCCATTTGTCAAGCTCTTCATTCAATGCTCTGTTTGTCTGCTTGTGGCGAATAACCATTTAAAGCCTTGTGGGTGGGTGAATTGTGGGTGTGTCTCTGGATGGTGTGGAAACGAAAGTCGAAAGTCGAGCAAAGGTGAAGTGGGTGGTTGTTGGTGGGTGAGGAACCGAAAGGAAAAGAACCAAAAGAGCTGTGTGGTTTCTGGTGACTCTGTGGCTATGCGGCTTCCGCCGCAGGTGGGTGAATGGGTGAATGGATGCCGATGTGATGGCTTCTGGCAAAATGGCCAACTCAATTCAATGCAACTCACCTGCTTCTCCTTGAGCAGCCGAAGGCGCTGCAGCAGCGGCAGCCCCGCCCCAATCGGGCTGGGCGTCTTGTCGTGCAGCTCGTCCTTGGCCTCGGCACTGTCCGCATCCTTTTCATCCGATCGCACGCGCGACATTCGCTTCAGCAGGATCTTGCTGCCGCGGGGCGAGGTGTTGTGCAGCGGCTGCATTTCCAGGGATTCATCGCTTTTCCGCGAGGTCCTGTTGGGAAAATAAGGCGAATTTCTTTTGTGAGTGCAAGGGAAATTTAAAATCAAGTAGGGAAAGGTCACAGGGATTTAAAATCAATTATTAGGGCGTCCAACAATACTCCCCTTTAAGGGCTTTAAAATTTAAAATGAAATAACTATGGTTTCAAAATCACCTAATAAAGTGCCCAAAAGTAGGCAATGACAAATACATAGATATCTTTCGTTGCATACTTTTAGACACATGTTTAAGTGATTTGAAAAATATTTTACATTTTATTTTGTATTAATTTCTGTAACATGGAAATTATGGAAAAGAATTGAAATTATAAAAAAATATTTTACATTTAATTTTGTATTATTTTTTATAATTAAGAAATTAAGAATGCTTGCTATCATCACTTATTTTTTGTAGCTTTGCCATTAGCTATGATCACTTCTCTTCTCAAAACTCACCTGGACTTCTTGAGCACATTCCGAAAGCCCTTGACGTCGTGCTTCAGCTTGTCCACGATCTTCTTGGAGGCACTGTTCTCGCTGCTGTCGCTCTGGTGCACCTGGCCCTGGTGGTGCCCCTGGTGGTGGTGCGGATGGGCCGCCGCATAGGCCGCCGCCTCCTTGTCGCTCTGGGCCTTGGCATACTTCTTGTTCACGCAGCGCACCTCCATCAGCCGCTTGCGGCCCAGCGTCTGCAGGATCTCCTGGGCATCCGGATAGTCCTTCATGGCCGCCAGGACATCCTCGCGGGACAGCGAAAAAAGCTCTGAGTAGCCAACGGACCGCACATCCGCCGTGCGTCTGTAATATTGGGTTATTACAATTTATTATTTATGCCAAAACTATTTACGAATTTCGGCTTTTTTTTTAGATTTTTATATCAAGCCGTTTTTCTGTTTTTAATTTTTTTGTTGGTGTAGATCTCAGTTATATATTAAAATAAATATTTTTCGAATTAAAATAAACACTCCACTCACTTGTTCAGCCCGTCCAAATTGAGGATGCCGATTTCGCCAAAAAAATCGCCTGCCTTCATGGTGGTGAGGACCTTGCCCGTCTCGCTGAGGACCTCCAAAATGCCATCGGCAATGATGAACATCTCGCGGGCCACCTCGCCCTTCCGGCAAATGGAGTCGCCTGGGGTGAAGATGTAGGCCTTCATCTTGAGCACGAGATCGTGAAGGAACTCGGGCTGGCACTCTTGGAAAATGGTCACCTTCTTCAGCACGCTGAGGTTGACATGTAAGGCCAATTCGGTTTTCAGCTTGTCGGGCAGCAGGCCCAAGGCGGTATTGATGTCACCGCCACCCTGTATCCGTCCGCGGGACCAGCTGTAGTCGTACCACCGCAGCACGCGACGCTTCATCCCACCGGGCACCTGTTTTTCAAGGATATATGAGTTAATCAATTAACTAAACCAAACACAACCCACCTTGTGGTGCCGCATATACGTCTTGGCCCCATCCAGCAGGCGCTCGAACTCCAGGCGATTCGCATTTCGGTTCGTTATCACATTGCCCACTTGGCCCACAATGGTGGCGAAGATAAAAACACCAATCAAATAGCTAACGATCGTAAAAATATATCTGCGAAGAGGGAGCAATTCACAGGGAGTGAAGTGGCAATCAATTAGCAGGGCGACCGAAATCGAATCAGGTGTCGGAGAGAAAAAAGAGGGCATTTTATGTTTGAATAACTATGATATAAATTCGAAAAAAAGGTGTTTACATTTTATAATAATTATTTTAATTATAATAAACAAATAATTAAATTTTTAATTACTGTTTAAACTCCTCTTTTTCCTCTCTCTATTTTTCCCAACACTTTTTGCAAGCTCAATCAAAGTTTTCGAAAGCTCGAGGGGACCTGAGGATACTATTTTTTTTAATTTTAGTAGTTTTCCCTTGGCTTGTACACAAATATCAATGGAACTCTGTTCAAGGCTGTCGCACGCTTTCGAAAACTTTGATGCCAAAGGCTTTATTTTTTTGCTGGCAGAAAATGCAACAGTTTGATAAATAATTGAATAAAGATTAAGAACACCAAGGCAGACGAATCGGTGGACAGCCCCCAAACAAGTTGCATGATATTCGCTGGATTTGATTGAATTGGATTGATTGATCTTGCTCAGTTGCTTAGTTATGGTGGATGTATTTTTAAAACAAAGATCGTACCCATAACTAGATCCGAATTGAAGCAGGCGCGATTTAATGCCACGCCTCGGAATTGATCGAGGGCCGTCCACCGAGAAGTTCGGTCTGATTGTTAATAAAATTGGTAGATATCCAATATGTATTCGCGACATATTCACAAATTCATTCATTCGTACTCACTCTGCATTCGTCTCGGGCGTGGGCAGATCCCCGATGGTCGTCAGTGTCAGGGTCGACCAGTACAGGCTGCCCAGATACTTCCGCGTCAGGGTGGCATAGTCTCCGGGTCGATACGGATAGACCCAATCGCCCTGTGATTTTCAATTTTAGCATTAACATTATGTTTATAGATTTAACATATAACTATGAAAGCACAACCGTTGTAAAATCACTTATAAAGGTGTCTAAAAGTATGCTATGAAACATAGGACCTCGTCTTTTGGTTTACAAATATATTGTTGCATACTTTTAAGCACCTTGGTAGAAGTCTTTAACTTCCAATTGATTTCCTAAGCTTTTTACTACTAATTAAGTTTAAACTCAGTTTATTCAAACGAAAATAAGTAGCAATATTTAAAGGACTAATAAAAATTATATTAATTAAAATTTAATTTCCTCAAATTATTTTTATAATATTTAAATTAATTTATTTATGAACCCACCTGAAAACCCTCCGCCTCGGAGAGTAAAAAATAGAAACAACCGAACCAGTGTGCCAATATTAACAGGATATGAATTAGGTTAACAACGCGCCATAAATTTGGCCAAACTGTTCTACTTTCTACGATGTAATAAAATCTCACAGATCGATAAACCTGCAGAACGTCGCAAAAATTATTTATTATAATTAATTAATAATTATTATATACAAAAATACTGACTTTAAAAAATCGCGTAAAACGCAAGAGCGGATGTGTGCCCATCTTGAGCTGCAGCAAATCCAATGGTATCAGCGCAATCATATCGAAGATAAAGTCGCGCGAGTGAACATAGTGGCAGGCCAGCTTCCTGTCATCGTATACCTACAGATAGATTCAAAGTAAGTACAAGTAATCCTAAGTAATCCCTATATCATATTCCAAACTCACCATTAGGCCCTGCTCCAGATAGCCTGTGCGTAATTGAACTATTATATCTAAGATAAATACAACATCTGTCATCGAATCGCAGATGAGCCAAAACGTGGGCACAGATTGCTAAGCCAGAAATAGTACAAATGCAGAGAGAGAAAATATTTCAATTTAATGAGATATAATGAGAGATTTAATAGCAAAGAATATATAAGAAAAAAGAGCTTGCAAATTATCAATATTTTTACCATATCGATTTTTAAGCTCTATAAGTAATGTAAAGGGATCTTCTATTTTAGACTCATTTATTTTCGGTGTAAAACACACAGTGTGTCACATTAAGTGAAAAAGGCCGCATTTTCCACGGCTATTTTTATGGGCAGGTCAAGGGCAATTAAAACGGACGGGGAATGCAGTTGACAATTGCAAATGTGCGGGCCAAAAAACCGGGATGGGATGGAATGGGAGGGGATGGGGGAGGGGATGCGGCCTCAACTACAGGCCTTTGTGGCCGGGTTAAAGGTCAACACAGTCGACTTTTGTTTAGCCAACCCAAGCGTAGTTCTAATCTGATGACAAACACACCAGCTAACTGGGCCATAAACAAACATTTGCCCAGGCCAGCCTGCGTGTCTTATAATTGAGTCATTACAAGGCAAAGAACGGGAGCAAACAGATATAAAAAATAAGGATAATTTTGTTTTTTTTTTTTCTGTTATGTTGTTGTTCCTGTTGGACAGCAGGTGAACCACGGATGCTCCGTAGCCGTAAGGAGGGTCGTTATAAGGGACTAGGCAGAGGGACCCAACTTCCATCACAACCGAATGACAAAAGGGTGTCGCCTTACACAAAGGACGAACAAAGGACTTGAAGGGCAAACGGGGTGGTAAAGTAAGTGGGGGAAGGAAGGAAGGAAAAAAAAAAGAACCACTGATAAACAAGATAAAACGAAAGCGAAACAACTCACCTGCAGTTCAGGAAAGCTCTGCCTCACAATTAGGGTCCATAGATTATATAGAACACATACAGTTAACATCATTAACCAATAGAAGTAAAAATTTTCATCTGGATTAACAACGGATCGTCGTTTCTGCAGATAGCGTCGTCGCCGTTTAACACTCTTGTCGACGTCACCAGAGGCACTTTCTGAACCCGTATCTTCAACAGTTTCCTAAGAGGTTGTTGATGAGAAATAAGAAGGGATAATACGGCACATTAATATAAATCTTAAATCAAATTTTTATAATAATATATAACAATCTGTAAATCACTTTAATTTGAAATCTTTTAAAAAGTGTTTAAAAGTATGCAACAATTTTTTTATTTGTTATTCTGATGAATCCCTTTAAAAATACAAGTTTCCTTTTTCACTGCATACTTTTAGACACCTTTAATAGTGATTTCGTTGGAAGATTAAACATTTTACATAAAAGAAATATTCTTAATGCCCAAGAACCTCCTCTTACCTGTGTTTCGGGTATCTGTCTAGTCGAGAAACGCTTCAGGAAGGAATCTTCGCGCTTGAGCGGTGGTTTCTTCTGTATCGCCGATGAGATCTGCACGGTGGTGCGCAGCTTCATCCAACGCTGGTTCGATCGTGTCCTGTGTGTCGCAGGCGGGAAATGAAAGCAAGTTAGTTGGGGTCATCCAATCTAGGGCTTTTTCGTAAAGGGATTGTCTCACACAACGAACTACGGTTAAACTATTTAAGGGGATTTTAAGGGGCGCAACTGAAAAGATCATTCCAACTACTAAGCGTGCGCTCACGTTACTGGGGGTGCGTTTTTAATATTTGCTATTTTTTTTTTTTTTTTTTTTCTCAAAGAGCGTAATCACTTACGTAACACGAAACATCAAACACTTACGCTAGTTGGTGATGACGGAGAAGTATGGCTACGGGTTACGGGTATACAGTTTACGGGTTACGGGTTACATATTACGGATTACGGCTATGGTTACGCATACTTAGTGGCAAGACAAACATTCATGGGAGAACCCAAAAGACCGTAACGCAAACGCACGCAACGGTAACGGTAACGCTAACATTAAGGTGAAACGGAAACGGAAATGGAAACGCAAGGGATAGAGAGAGACAGAGATAGATGAGGTCTTTTGGGGCATGCAAAAAATATATTTATTTATTTTCATATAGTTAGTAACACACATATAGTTATAGTTATAGTTATAGTTCTACGAGTCGCAATCGCAAACGAAATCAACTCAAACTCAAATCGAAGTGAATCGAATCGAATTGAATCAAATGTAATCAAACGAAATAACAATCATATAGGCGTTATGCAATCGACAAGAAATGAGGAAAATTGCAATTGGAAAACAATTTTAGCAGCAGCAGTAGAGCAGCGCAGCGAGACAGAGACAGACAGAGAGCGAAAAAGAGATAGTGAGAGTGAGTGAGGAAGTGGGGGGAAAGTGGGGAGGAGGTGGAAAAGTGGGCGGCGGTTTGAGTGGCCAAGAATTTTCCGCCATCGATATAAATAGCTCTTGGCCTCGGGGGCGAAAAGTGTTAAATTGTCTGCCAGGTGAGCTTTTCTCGGCGAAACTCAACAAAAGTTTCATTTCACAATTAAAAGAAAATTAAAAGAAACGAAAAGTACGGTTTTCCCCGGCAAATCCGAAGCTTACGGTGCTCTGGCAAAGTTTTCGGTGAACTATATATGTAGGTGAATAAATTATTTAAATCTCCTACTAAACTGCACTTAGTTTTTAAAGTGGCTGGTTTTTTTTTAAATTTTAAATTTCGTAGGTGCTCAAAAGTATGCAGTGAAAAGTTATGCCAGAAACGAAATTAATTATTTCATTGCATACTCTTGGGCGGCTAAGCAAGTGATTTAAAATCGCCCAGGGCATTTTTATACCCGTTACTCGTCGAGTAAAAGGGTATACTAGATTCGTGCAAAAGTATGTAACAGCTAGAAGGAAGCGTTTCCGACCCCATAAAGTATATATATTCTTGATCAGGGTCACTAGCCGAGTCGATCTAGCCATGTCCGTCTGTCCGTCTGTCCGTCTGTATGAACGCTGAGATCTCAGAAACTACAAAAGCTAGAAGGTTGAGATTTCCCACACATATTCTTTGGCTTCCTACGCAGCGCAAGTTTATTTTAGCCGAGCGCCACGCCCCCTCTAACGCCCACAATCGCCCACTAACGATTTTAAAATAGGTCCTGCGCCCACATCTTTAAAGATTTCCGAGAAGTATAAATGCAATTTTGTTGTGTATATTTATACCTATCGAAATGTAGAAGACATTTTTCAAATCGGACCATTCATTAAAAAGTTATACGCAATCAAAAATTATATATCTATCTCCCTCGCACTCCCTTTAGCTGAGTTACGATTATTAGTCGGGACACCAACCCGACACAGCGTTCGCACTCCCTTTAGCTGAGTAACGGGTATTAGATAGTCGGGACACCAACCCGACTATAGCGTTCTCTCTTGTTGTGTTTGCATTTCCCCGGAAACGAAACGATACGAAACGAAGCACACATTAATCACATTTAATGTCTTGAAATCATTTATAAAGCTTAAAGCGCTGAATGCGCTTAGCTGAGGCGTCATCAATCAATAACGATTGTTATGTAGGTAATTTAAGAACAGGAAAAAGCAAAGACCTCTTCATTTTTATTCCTTATCACTACCGCACTTTGCCAGAGCATTGCTACGCACTACGAGTATATACGAACTCGATCTAGGACTATATCGTACGTGGATTCTACGTGGATCGGGGGAATTGGGGAATTGGGGGTTCGGATCAGGTTTTACCACTTTAAACTTTTGCTCAAGCCGCTCAGGGTCGCCATTCAATCGTCTGTTCTGCTATAGCATCTAGTTACTAGGTGTTTATTTGCATGATGATATAATATATATATATACATTGCTTTTATGTACAGTTCGGTTTGTTGGGGTGGTGGTGTTCTTGCTGATGCGTTAATTGATTTTTTCGGGCTTTTAATTTATGCACAATTATTATTCGCATTCAGCATATCAAATGCCAGGCTACGAAATAAATGTATTGTATTTTTGGTTTCGTTTAGGATTTGCTTTGTTTTAATTTCGGTTTTTGTTTTTTTGTTTGTTTTTGTTTTCGATTCTTGTTTATTTTGATTTAGCTAGTTTTCATTGGTCTATTTACAGCGGTGGCTAAATTATTACGCATACGTCGTGTGGTACACGATGAGGTACGAAAAACGAAAGCGATTTGGTAGCAATGCAGTTAGCTAAACGAAAGACAAATCAAAGGAAAACAATGATAGCTATAGGTGTGGTTGCCGTCAGTGTGTGAGTGTGAGTGTGAGTGTTAGTGGGTGTTTTGTGGGTGTTTCTGGGTGTTAGTGGTGGGTGTTCTTTGGGTGTTTCTCATTTAAGTTTGTGGCTTTTTACAGGGTGTCCCAGTGTCTGTGTCAAGAACCCTACTCTATATATATGAACTCTATATGCATAATAAATATATATTTATGATATATGGCTTATATATCTTGCTGTTCTCTTGTTCTTGTTGTTTTGCGGCCTATTCAAATGCAAAGCGCGCACATGCCGATCATCATCATTATCAACAGCATGACCATCATCATCATAATCATAATCACAATCATAATCAAATCAAAAGCAGAACAAAGCTATGCGTATGTGTGTTTGTGTGTGTGTCTGTTTCTGTATTTGTATTTGTATTTGTAACTTGTATTTGTATTGGTGTGCAGAGACAAAACCGAGAAATCATAAGGAACGCAAGAGAATAAACTTACCAATCGGAATCTGGATCTGAAGCTCCATCTCCGATACGCGATTTCCTAAACGAGTTTCGAAAGTATTTCATTTTTTTTTTGTTTGGTTTGTTTGTTTTTTTTTTACTGTTTTCTTTTGTACTTTTATTTTGGAATAAATATATATTTTCGATTTTTGTTCTACTTTGATTAACATATTTTTGTTTTGTATTCATTTTGTTTGATTTAATTTGTTTTGTAATGTTTTTTGAGGAGGCAAATAGTAAGAGAATTCGATAGAAATAGATTGGCAAAGGGACCAATAGACAGAGACAGACAGAGAGAGAGAGAGAGAGGGTTGGAGAGGGTGAGAGTGAAAGAGACGCACAAAAACACACACATACAACCGATGGGTGATAGGGGCCCCCTTTTAACCCATCACTGCCCATCCTTAGCCAAGCGGAAAAAGGCTTGCTGCACGATAAGATTACCCCGCTCTATAGCGCTCCCAAATAATACCATACATATATATATTACATATACACAGTGGCTCACGCAGGGCATTAACTAAAAGGGGATTCAGGAAATCAAATATGATTATTATGTAAAAAGATGTTTATTATTTTTTAAATGTTGTATTAAAACCATATATATTATAAATGTCTTGAAATTATCCTGATACTTTTAAATTAATTAGCATTTTTCAATTTTTAAAATAATTTTAAATATTTCCCCAAAAATATAGTTTTGAATATATGGTATCTTGAAATGATCCTTATTCGTTTTAAGGAGTGACTAAAAACAGTTTGTTAAATGAATTTCCGTATGAATTTTATTTTTAAATAATTTTAATAATTACGAAATCCCCAGAAATACATTGTTTTTAGCCCCGCTAGTCTACGCCACTGGATGTATATGTATGTATATAAATGCGTGTACGTGTGCGTATATCTGTGGATGACCCCATTGTTGTTTTTGGGGTCAGCTGAACCATTTGTGGACTTTCGATTTAATATAAATTGAGAATGAGCTTGTTAGTTTTGGCGCTTCTCGTTTTTCGATTCAATTCGATTCGATACGATTTTGGGTTCTGGCTTCTGGGCTCGAAAAGGTTAAAGAGCTGCGAACCCCGGTATTAAATGGCCTTCTTTATTGCACCACAAATCATCCAGCGAAATGTTAAAGGACTCGGACTCTCCTGTTTGTGTTTGTGTTTTTGGACCATGTGTGTGGTCGCCCGAAAGTGTTATTGTTTAATGGCTGCATGATGTCCGATTTGGGGGCGCCTCGGGTTAACCGGCGATTCGGTTCCTAAGCCGGATTTCAATTAACGCCTCTGCCCGATTCACGGAACTGAGTTTTCGGTTTTGCAGCATTCGGCTTTCGGTTTTCAGCACTCAGCATTCGGTTATTTGGTTTCTGTGGCCATCAAGCCGCAGGCCGTGACCGTCCGGAATGCTAAACCATCACTTGACTGCCTGACTGGCCGCACATGGCAGATGAAATAACAATTGAAAAATTCCGTCGAGTCATTTGCTAGGCCCCCTCTCTTCACCCCTCCCCCTGCGCTTGCCTCACCCATTGGCTATAAATTTATAGCAGCCTCGAGGGACATTTCACACCCCGCCAAAGTATGCTACACTTTCTGGATTTTAAAAACGTGCCAGGATGTCACGGAAATCTACGGATGCCCTGGAAGTAATTGTAGCGTGAAAAGTGCTTTCGACATCATATTTTAAATGACTTCTTAAAGTTTCAAAGCATTTGAGACATTTGTTTTTGGATTTAACAACTTTTTAATCTAAACTAATCAAAAGGTCCTGCTGGCAAAACGGTTTGACTTAAAAAATCTAAAAAAAAACCGAAAATCGGAAATAATATTTAAAACAACTATTTAGAGTCATACAAATTTTTTTTAATTTTTTGGAAATTATTTCTACACAGCCCTTATAAAGACACAAAAAATACGGATAGCACATAAAAACGCCTGGCGAAAATCGCTTTAAAACCCACCGAAAGTCATTTCCGCGACACTTAAACCAGACTCCCGGCTCGTAAATTCCCCTGACTGCCACTTTTCCACTTTTTTCCCACTTTTTGCGACACCCATCGAGCGTACGTATATGTGCCTTATTAGCCGTGGCTAATACCCCAATTATTTGGGTCATCCTAGTTAATGAGGAACTTGAGCTGCTGACAATGCAATAAAGCCGAAAATATCGGACGCTCGCCGGATGTGAGCCGCATTTCAAGTGCTTGCAAATCAAAACACAATTGCCGGATCGAACAAATGAATTTGATTGCGAATCAGAGTTGCTTGTAAGGGAATTACCTAACCGCAGGACCAAAAAAGGAGGCAATCGGTGGGAGGCTCTGGTTCTGGGATGGAATATATATATATATAGGAGGCACCACTTGCATCCCTTTTCGCTGGCCAAAAAAAATACTAGATGATGACATCCAATCGGACCAAGAGGGTGCATAAATTCTAGGTTACCATTGAGTGTATTGTGTTCACTTGGCTTCTACATAAATTTGCAATTTTCTAAATTCAAATTCTTTGTAAGTTGTCAGTCAGCAGGCAATTTCCCATTTTGCATGCACAATGCCAAAAGAGAAGCTGAAAGTGGGTGGCGGGTTGGTCGTACTTTGTGGCATTGGCATATGCATAGGCGCAATGTGGTGTGTCTGTGACAGTGGCGCACAAGGGATTTTTCCAGGGGGGTAAGGGATTAATCCCTGGAATTTTACCTTACTAATTGTCGAAATTATCTTATTTACTTTTACTGAACGATTTTAAGCGAAAAAGATTTTTTTAAAAAGAAAATAAATACCTAAGAATATTAAAAATTAAAAATATTTTATTTTTTGGGCTTTTTCTAATTTAAAAATTACAATAAATTTATTTGAAATATATTTTTTAAATCTTTTTGAATTCCTATATAAAAGATGGGGTTTTTTAAAATATAAAAGGGCTCAAAATCCCTCACCCCCCTGCCTACACCAATGTCTATATGTGTGTGTGTCTGTGTTCTGGTGTATTTGTGTCAAAAGTTCGCCTACATTGCAGTCAGCAGCTTAAACATATCGATTCAAACGCACACTACCAAAAGCCACTTTAACTTTGGCTGTTTGCTGAGATTTTTCAAGCAAAAGTTCCTCTTACACCCTTACTTATATGCATGTGTGGGTATTAGTGTGTGTATTTGCGAGTGTAAGTGTGTTGGCATCAACTTGTTTAGCTGAGGCAAACTTTTTAAGTTGCCCCTCTGCCAAAAATGAACCGAAACTAGAACAGAAAGTGGTAAAATGTATACCCAGCCAAGAGACGACACCTCTTTCCATTTCCCCATTATTTAGCAGTGGCTACAGTGTTACCTCCCCCCGCAACGACCATGTCATATCATATATCACACATATATGCATGTGGCTAAAATAAATGCAAATTCCCCTCATATCCACTTATTAAATGAGAAAAGTCCTGGGGAGGAGGTGGGTTGCAGAAGGGGGGGGTGGTAAAGTTTTCAAGAAAACTAAGTAGACGTCGTCGAGGCTTAACTGTAGAGAAGGAGAGAGAGAGAGAGAGGGGGACGACAGATCTGCGGAACAGATGGTGGGAGTGGGATAGAGTTAGTTAGCGAATGGGCGAGCAGGCGGTTTTTTTTTTGAGTTGAGTTTTAGTTGAGAGTTTCAGAGGTCGAGAGTTAAGAGAGGTCTGGCATTCGATTACACATCAATGATATATGGGTTATATATTAGGATTACACATAGGTTCATACACTACGTTTTTCGGATTAGTACGTTGTTAGAGCGAGCGAGCGAGCGAGAGAGAAAGAGAGCATGAGAGAGAGAGAGAGAAAGAGGGAGGGCGAGCGATCGATGAGCGTTAGTGGATGGGTTAGTACATATCGATAATTATCGAGGGGCTGATCAAGGACTTCGCTTTTTCGTAGGTGGTGATGGTGGTGGTGGTGAGGATAGCAAGAGCCAGGATTCTCTCTCGCAAACACACACGCACACGCACGCAAAGAGAGAGTTTACACACACATATAAATATATATATATGGGTGCACAGAGAAAAAACTCTACGATATCAGTTCCATTTGGCCATCTCAATTTTTTAAAATCTTAAGGAATCCCAAGTGACTTATAGATTTATAAATTTAGCTAATTAAATACTCCTGTGAAAATCTATAGATTTTAAAATGAAGATCAGGGTTAATTTTTAAATAAGATCTACATTTTTAGCACCAAAAATAATATGGATTTAAAAATAAATATGAAAGATGTTATATAATCGCTAAATATATGAATTTCATATACAAGATAATTAGGAACACTTAAAAATGAAGTATTTTATACATTTAGTTTTTCTTGAAGCTAATAATTAAATTTATAAAATATATATTATATATATTATATATATATTTATATCATATTGGGAAATTTTTCTAGGGGTTATTTTTCTTTACACAAAACAACCAAAAGGATTGCCAATGTCGGTGATATTTTTTCTCTGTGCAGTGGTTAGTTAGTTAACGCTAGCAAAACGCGAGTACGCAATATACGGGAACACTGAAAACGATTTTTTTTTTTTTTGGGGGTTGGGTTGTGGGCTGGAAAGGGCTGTATATGGTTGTGGGTGTGGCAACGTTCCTCTTGATGCGCCTCAGGGAGCAGTAGTAGGCCATCACGGCCCTTAGGCTCTTCCACTTCGTTGTCTGCTGGCCATTCGATGCGGATGCGGCTGCGGATGTACCACTCTGGGCCGGATGATCCGCGCTATCCGCCCCGGCTAGCTCCTCGGGATGCTCGCTGATGAACGAGGAGAGGGTCTTCATCGCGGGCAGCGACCTTTGACCCACCGGCGTGGTGACGCTCTGATCGGAGGACGGACTGTTCACATGGAGGCGCACCTGACGCCGCTGACGGGCCTGATGCGAGTGCGGATGCGTATGCGGATGTGGATGCGGATGCGTATGCTGCTGTGCCGGCGTCACTATAAGTCTATCCCTCTCTGTGTACCTTAAACTACTGCTACTGGTGGTGGTGGTGGTGCAGCCACAGTGGTGCAGCTGAGCACTGGCCAGCGACGAGCTGCCGGATCTATGAGACCATACATGTGTGTGTTCAAGATCCGCGGATGTGATCGAGCGGAGGCGATGCGAAAAGTGGATACTCTGATTATAACATGCGATAGAAAGGAGGGGAGCGGGTTCGATGCAGCTTAGGCAACTTTTTTCTATTCAAAAAAAATATGTCCTCGGCATATTTGCATCCATTTTTAGGAATTACATTTAATTTCTGGTAATTTTATTGAAGAAACTAGCTCAATTTAAATAAAATGTTATACTTCTTTAAAAAAAATTTTCTTTTTATATAGACAATTTCTTGAAATAATACCATAAGAAAGGTAATAAAATGGATGTAAGTTTGCCAAATGGCTTTTTTTCTTTTGGTCTTTCTGTGTTTTTGCCCTTGATTAAATTGTTTGCCCTGGGACATTAGCATTCTGGAAGTGGCAGTCGCGGTGGCTTAGTGTGGTTTGGGTGGTTCATGGTCTCATGGTTTCATGGTTTCATTCTGGAGTTTCAGCTGGAGTGGATTCGTGTGCCCGAAGATTAGACGACCGAGAGGCGAGAGAGGGCGCATTAGGCCAAAGAGTTGTCAACTCCTGTCCCCCGGGAGGTCGCTCAACCCCCTTCCAACGCCGCCTTTGTTTGCCTTTGGGTCGGGTTAATTAATGAAATCATGTACACACTCACACACACACAGCCTGACACTGTGACACCCCGAGACACACACACACACTCACACAGCACGGACATGGGCAATCCCGGCTAATTGTCATTGCTAATTTCCTTTTTGCCACCACAAAGGCACAATAAACACAAACAAAAGTTGTGTGTGTGAGTGAGTGTGTGTGTCTGTCTGAGTGACAGCTCCATTCAACTGCAAAAGCAAAAAAGTTGAAACCACAATCTCAACATTTACTTGGAATAGACTCCTTGGACAGTGCGTTAAATATAGGGAAAAAACAAGCTGGGTTATTTAAAAAATGTAAAAATATTAAGAAGCTTATTATCACAAATATTACTACATTTTTGGCATGTTAATTATTTAAATTAAATTTGTTATACAGTAAAATTCATTTAAAGGGCATTTAAAAGTGTGCAGCAATATATTTTCAATCCAAAAATGCTATAAAATCATAAAAAAAATCAAATAGATATTTAAGTTACTAATTTTTTTTTGTGGAATTTTCAAACAAATTAAATTAAAAAACTAATTATTTCATTTATCATATTATATAATCTATACAATCATATCATCTATCACTCAATCACGCAGCTATGAAACGCACTGTCCCTGTATCGGGCTTCCACCAGGGATCCTGGGATCCAAGACTCCTGATTAGATTAACCAAAACCCAAACTGGAAACTTTTGAAGTCGCATTCGCATTCTCACATTCCCATTCAGATTTCAATTCCCATTTGGCATTACGCATTTGGCATTTCTCAATGCCAGGCTTCATCTTCTTCATCTCCGACCGCAAGGATTCGCATGGACGTAGAATAGGGGGGATTATAAGGCAGGGGGACTGAGACTGAGACTGGGGACTTGCTAATTGCTAATTTAATTTAATTGAATCGAATCGGGCTCGTTGGTTTTTCTGGTCCTGATTCTGATTCGGGTTGTGGTCCTTGTCTTACGGATGCCAGTACGGATGTGATGTCGCTTACGGTTGATCAAATACAGAGTACAAAAAGCTGCCAAGGCGAGCGAAGCCCAACAAAGTATGCTACACATTTATCAATTACGCTTACGGCACGTGTCTATGTATATGTAGTTACTGTATGTGTGTGTTATGTAAGTGTATGTGTGTGAGTGTAAAATGCGGACTGCAGCAGCAGAACCGGATTATGTTTATGTGTTTGGTAACAACTTGGCACGATTTGAATAAATCATCTTTGTTAGCCCCTCTTCGCTTTTTTTTACTCCGCTTTCAACTTGTATTTTACACGTGTCGGCTTGGATGCACTGAGCGAAATAAGTGTGTACTAGCATAGAGGTTTTTCCATTCCTAATACTTATATAGTTTTCTTTCAATTATTCCTATTTTTCAATTAACAAATTTTTTGGTTCAATTTTGTAGTTATTTACATTAAAAAAAATTATATTTTTCAAATCTTTTTTATTTTAAAGATTAATTTTCAGTGAGCAACATATTTTAGTAAAAAGTTTTTGACTTAAATATATAAGATATTATTTTTGAAAGCAGATTTCCTGATCAAAAATCTTTTAAGATTTATAGAAATAAATGTTCAATTATTTTCATCTTTACTCATTAACGTTTAAACTTTAGTTAACTGCAGGCTAACTGGTTTTCACTTGAAAACCTCTTGCTCTAACTTTAGTTGACATTTTTTTTGCAACAATTTTTTTTATACGAATAAATAATAATATTTTCTCTTCCCTTTAACGTTTAAGCTTTAGTTACCTGCAGGTTAACTGGTTCTCACTTCAAATCCTCTACTTTAGCTGACACTTTTTTCGCGCAGTGCAGAAGGTGTGGGTGTATTCATTGACTGGGTCTGTGTGGGTAGTTGGGTGTATTGTATATAGTGTACATTATCGAACTTACCGCTGACTGGGACTCTTGCTGTCCGACGAGTGCGCCGCACTGTTGTTGTCGTCATCGCGGACCATCTTGTGGTGCCGCTTGTGATAGCCGCCGTCGCTGGGACCACCGTGCCCGCCGGCACCACCGGATCCTCCGCTGGCACCACCTCCTCCTCCTCCGCCGCCGCCTCCGCCACCCCCTCCGCCGGAACTACTGGTGCCCGTGGGACTGATGACGTCCGTATCGCTGTTGCAGTCGTGCACCTGACGGGCCACATCCTTGACAAACTTGCCCGCTTCGAGCTCGTGGGCCTCCATCTGCAAGGAGGCAAGGGATAAGTTGGTCGCATTAATTGAGCTTATTGGCATTGCTATTTCTGCATATAAGTGTGTGTATATATAGATCTGACACCCATCGGGTGTCTCATCAATCGCAATTGAGCGCATCTTAATTGCTAATTATGCAAATTCTACCTGAAACCGGGTCTCAAATGTCAATGCTTTCGTACAGCGCCGGTCAAAATTGTAATACTCTTACTTGAGAAGATCAAACTATTTAAAACAATTATTTTAAAATATCAATAATAATAAAAGTTTATTTTTATTTGGGTTATTATTTAAAAGTACTATTTTTTTGGGTGGAAAATCACGATCTTAATTTTTAATAAAAATATGTTTTTTCTTACCGATTTTTTGCTGTAACTTGGTTAAAAATGGTCCCAAATCAAAAAGGCGTACTGTTCTGAGCAGCTAACAACCTAATAATTAATATCAGTAAACTTTCCGTCTGATTTAAAAAAATAAAAATTTTACCCAATTTTCATATTTTTGGTAAGGGGTTACATCATGATTTTTTGCAAAAATTGGCAAAAATAAAAAATTTACAGGTTTAAATGCAGATCGATAGGGAATTTTATTACGAGTTCAACGAGGTATGACATTCCATATTTGGATCACTATTTCAATTTGTATGACCAACATACTATACTTTTTTGGGTGGAAAATCAGAATTTCGACAAATTTGAAATTTTTCTTGATCAATTTTTTCCTATTTTTTGCATACTGTTTTAAGCAACTAAAAATGGCCAAAAATTCAAAGAACTAGAACTTTAAGCCTTCAAAGCCTAGTTACTATAATTTCTACCTCGACTGTTTAAATACATATATATCTGCAACAGCATCGACATTCGTATCTGGAACTGCATCTGGCACTGAGCCTTTGCCTTTGCCATTTTGCCCACGGTGCATTTTAAATCGGATGATGTTGACGATAATAATTAAACTTTGATTTGATTGCTTGTGACACGAAAACTTGGCCAACTCTGAGCCTTCAGGTGGGCGAGAGTTTCCCGGGGAATTGGATGGGTGGGTTGAAGGTGGATGGTTGAACAACGATGGCGAATGAGTTGGATGGCAAAAAAAAAAGAGAACTTTTGTCGAGAACTTTTGTCGAAGCATGCTTTCAAAAATTTAAATATTGCATTATTGATTCCTCTCGGAATTGGCTGAAAACTGAAATTGACTTAAGGCCTGTTTTTTACGCAATATCGATGAAAATCCAATAAAAGCGCAGCACTTATTTGAATAAAGACAATGAAAAAACCTTTTTCACAATAATGTTTAATTTTTATAGCAAAAACGTTAATTTAAGCGATTGTTATGTTTTCTTAATAATCCTATTTATTTAGTTCGTTAATTAAAAGCTTTAAAAATGATTCATTTAAATCACTTGGGGAATTATGAATAAATAGGATTAAATAGGAAACATTAATACGCTTTGTAGGAATTATGTAAAAATCGAAATGAATTAAAAGAAAATTGCATAATGGCGGCAATTATTAACATCTAATGCGCAGGATATTCCAAGAAAATCGATGGGATTTAAATGAGTAACCTCATACAGAAATCCCCCCGGAAAAATCAATAAGAATTAGCCGAAACTAAAAGGAGGGGAGGTTGGCCTGAAGGCAATTGCACCGCAATAAAATCAAAATCAAAATCCCAGCCACTCAGCGTCGAACATAAAGACCACTTGTTAGCCAAAAAAACCATTATTAATTTAACACCAAGTTGGCCAAAAGCAAAACCAACTTTAAGCCGGTTTGGCCAAGTACTCGATATAAGTACTCGAGTGCCGGCAAAACTTGAAAACTTCGATTTGACCATTGGGACAGATTGACGTTGGTCGTGTGCTCCGTGTTTCCTGCTCCATATTCCATATATACCCCCTCCTAACTCATCCCACATTTATGTGTCCGTGACAAAACTGGGGCAATAGGGGAAACCGCATAACATATATCTATACATATATCTAGCGGGATTTGTGCGCCGTGTTCCCACCAATTAGTTGACAAATCGGTTCAATGCCAGATTAAGCTTCACTTGTGAGCTATACTATGTATGCTGTGAAACATCTGCGGTCAAAATAATAGTGCTATTTGTGTGCTTGTGTAAAATCAAATAGCAAAACAGTCTTCTTTCAAAATATTCCAGCTCAATGAAAATTGATTTGCCCACGTTGCAATGTCAATTGTTTGGTTTACTAACAATTTCTTATTTAGCAAAGAAATTATAAATATTTTTGGGATATAGAAGAGGCTAATCTTAAATGACATTTTTAATTCGCCGATTTCGATTTCAGAATTTATTAAGTCCCAAAAATAACACTGAAATGCAACCAAAAAGACGTTATTTTTGTACAGCCTACTTTTAGACACCTTTTTTTGTTTTCTTCAATTTTTCAAGCTTTAGTAGCTATTATTGATGACCCCAGCTGTATATATATATAGAGCTTTGATCCGTGAGACCAGCAGCTGCCGCCCGTGGACATGGCAATTAAATGCGCCACAAAACTTGATTGGAATTTATTGTGGTTCTGAGTTCTGGGTACTGACTACTGGGATCTCCAAACTGCTGGTTTCCGAGTCGAGCTGTTAAGCTCTCATCCCGGATTTCAAAGGACTCCATAAATAGTCCTGGCTGTGAAACTATGATGGGCCAAAACAACAGCGAAGTGCCCTCCGTTTTAATTAGCCTGTGACAAATCGGATGGATAGATGCATATATAAATGGACAGCGTTTCAATTTCCTGCAGATATTCTACAGCGAACTTTTCCCGATTGAGCCTTGATTTTCTTTAATGGCTTTTACGTAATTTAGCCAACGGCTGCTGCCTACTGGCTCACTTGAGCTGCAAAACTATTTTTTGGGGGCGGCGCCCGCGCTTTCAAAACTAATTTAATAACTTTTAGTCAGTTTGGAAATTTTAATGAATATTCATCCTGATCTAGGGCTCTCCCTTTAATGTTTTTTTGGGTTTTCGGCTTGTTTTTGGTTTGCTTTTTTGAAATTTAGGTAACGAGTTTAACGAAGTTTCCATTAGGAAGTTGCTCAAAATTATGTGGACAATGCTAATGGAATTTTGGCGAAGTGTTCTGGTCGGCTTCAAACTTATATAAGTAAATCACTATTATATAGAAATATATCATTCAATCAAAGAAGGGTTCTATAATAAATTTTAGTTCCCTTAATTAATGTTATTTATGATGTTAAACATCTTACATCTTTTCCAGCTTGACCCTTAATATTTTATAAAATGTATTTTACGTAATGACAATTTTCTTAAGGGCCTTTCCGATATTTATTTGCAAGCCGCTGCTTCTGACTACAATTTTAAGCAATGGATATAGCCTCAATTTGCTTTGATATGCCCAGATATATCCTATATTTATATTTGCGCTGCCCTTCGCCGGCAATATCATTAAAATGTAGCTACCATGGCCGGACATAACAGTAAAAGCCATAATCAAAAATGTTTAAATTTTATGCCTTTGTTTGTCACACAACATTAATGAGCGGCAAAAGGAAGACGACGGGCAGGAGATTGGAGGAAATATGGCAAAAGTGAATCGGTGGGAAGGGTGGAAAGGGAGGGGAAACTATAGCCAAGTTACACTGAAATATTGATTTAACTACTTCATTTTTCTAGAAATATTCCGATTCCGACTAGCTTAAAATGTTCGTATTATAAAAATGATTTGTTTAAATCATCAAATATTATTAAAAATTTAAATATTTAAAAATGGCAATAGAATGCTTTAAGCATAATTTATGTATATACGATTTTTCTTATTTTAATATCATAAAAATGAAGTACTCTACTTATATATCAAATATTTCCTAATTTCGATAATAATAATAAAAAATATTTTAAAATATCGATATTTTCGATATTTTTACAATATTGATACGATAAAATTGATATTTTCAAGGGAAAACTCCTTTTAATTATAGATAAATAGCAAACTGTTGATATTCTTTCAAGCTCTCTTAATATCACAACCTACTCTTTTTTCCGTGCAGTGTAAAGAGGAATTCATAACCGAAACACGAGATTGTCCTTCTGGGAATCGTGCTCAAAATCGGACTGGTCTGGGCTGCGAGGGAAATGTAAGTGGGTGGATGGATGGATGGATGGATAAAGGAGCAGGAGGAGCTGGAGGAGGAGCATCCATGGACATGGCAGGATGGACTACTCACCGCATATAGGCCCGTTGCTGTGGCCCCCGACGACGAGGAGGATGCCGCTGCCGCTCCAGTGCTGCCGTAGTTGAGCTGTGAGTGATAGCCGCTGGAGAGGATCTTCTTGTGTGCGGATGCATGCGCCCGATACGCGCTCACGCTCAGTTTCATCCTGACATCCACTCAACCAACCATCTGTGGGTGTTGGGTGGCAATGGGTGGTTATGGGTGGAGGTGGGCGTGGCAATTGCTCCTTTTTCCGCCCCGGAATTCCCAAAACTGAAACTGAAACTGAATCTGAATGTGAACTGTGTGTGTGGGCGGGGGCGTGGTCGCTTCACTGCTGCTGTTGCAGCTTGTATTGCTGTTGCTGTTGCTGTTGCTGCTGCTGCTGCTGTTGTATTTGCCACTTGTATTGCTGTTGCAGCTTTAATGGCCAAAGGTTGCTCCTAGTTTTTATGGCCCCGACAAACTATTGTAGCCACTGCTGTTGTCGCCACTTTGGCAATTATTGCTGTTAGCCGATGTTGCTGCTTGTTGTTGCTACTTCAGTTGTTGCTGTTGCTGCTGGTGTTGCTGCTGGTGTTGCTACTGCTGCTGTGTATATTATTATGGCTGCTTTTCCGTATTCAATTCAAGATTTAGAAGTAGATGTTGCTGTTGCAGCTGCAATCTCAGAAGTTGCTGGTGTTGCTGTTGCTGTTGCTGCTACTACTGCTGGTTTATATTAATATGGCTGCCTTTCCGTATTCAATTCAAGATTTTGAACTAGGTGTTGCTGTTGCAGCTGCAATCGTAGATGTTGCTGCTGCTGTTTCTCCAGCTATTGTTGTTCCTCCTTCCGCTGTTTTTGTTACTTTGCCAGCTGCTTTTGTGCTGTCGCTTTCAAGTTGCGTTGAATTGGGCTTAATTGAGTGCCCACAGGCGTCAGACGATGACGATGGCGACAACAACAACAGGACAACAACGGGGCGACACCGTTTTAAGGAGGGCGGAAGGGGCGTGGCAGTAGCAGGAGGAGGAGGAGGGGGAGTGGGAGGGGCAGGAGATTGGGGCAAGAATGTCACCGACACCGACAACACACACAAAGCAAACTTTTTATTGCCGCCTTTGGTGGTGTTGCTGTTGTTGCTGTTGCTGCTGTTGTTGCTGCTGTTGCTGCTGTTGTTGTTGCTGCTGCTGCTGTTGTTGTTTCTGTTTCTGATGCGAGAGACAAAGACAAAGGTCCCCACGACGATGATGGACTGGAATTCGGGGCTCCGCTGCTCAGTTTTAGTTGGCCATAAACGATGAAGCGGCCATTTAAGCATGTAGCTGTGTGTCTGTGTGTTTTTCCAAGGGGGCGTGGCTGCAGTACCGTTGTCAAGCGCTCTCTCTCCCTCTCCCTCTATCTCTCTCTTTCTGTATTTTTCTAGAGGATCCTTCCCTGTGTTCCCTTTTAATTGTTTGTAATTTGGTTTTTAGTGCTCTACGGTTGCTGGTTTTTTGGTTTTTGTTTCTGTTTTTGTTGTTTTTGTTGTTGTATCCTTTGTTCTTATAGTTGTTGTTGCTGTTGCTGTTGCTTTGGTGTTATTGTTGTTAAGGCCTCATGTCACTTTAGTTACAAGTATCTGTAGCTGCCGCTGTCGTTTCCGCTCGCAGTCGCCGTTGTTGCTGTTGCTGATGTTGCTGCTGCTGATGTTGTTGCCTGCAGGCAAGGAGGAAAACATTTAGCTAAGTAAACATTAAAGTGGAAATTAATTAAAATGTCTAACAGTTTAGCTGCGAAACACAACACAGCGCACACCACATACACACCAGAGAGCTGCAACGAGCATGATCGAGTACGATCGATCATCGCTCGATCATTTTCGTTTAATCCGGTAAACTCACTCGGCAACGAATAATCACGAACAAACCCGAAAGCCAAAGTACGATCCGATCAACTACCCCACTCGCTTCGTAACGATCAATGATGTGATTTTGAACTTCGGGTGTAGGTGAACAAAACGATCGTTCCGAAGCGCTCAATCGTTCCCGATTATTGCGACCTCGAGTCAGTTGTACATGAATAGATTGTGAACGGATTAATATAATTTCTTGTAACGACGAAATAAAATAGGGGAAGAGTGCACTTCAATGTATTATATGTTTAATGAGAAATATTTATTCCATATGGAACTTTTTCCTTTCCGTTGGCCTGACAACGTGTAGGTTCCATCTGATTTTAGTTCTAAAACGCTTTCAAAATCTATTACTTGTTGTCCTTTTGTGCAAATATAAAAATATGTTGTGCAAAATATAAAGCAATAACACGAACTGCACGGTCATACCGATGGGCGCAAAGGACGATCAACCAATCGATTGCACAAAATATTCGATCACAAACGGGTAAAATCTTCAAGGCGAACGTTCACACACGATCAGATCATACACTTGAACGATCACAAACGATCATTCATGGGACGATCGCATTCGCTCACCGCTCATTTCGTTTCGCTCACCCGAAGCGATTAATCAAAACGGTTACGAGTAAATGATCGGGTGTACCCGAAAATGATTGACTCGTTGCAGCTCTCTGATACACACATTAAGTGCTTCACACCGAAACGATTTAGTTTTTGAACAAAATTCCAAGAAACAAAAGTCGTTTAAAGGGCAACCACAGCCTTCCCCTTCGCTATTTGCCAGCGCACACAAATGCACAGAGAAAAATAAAATATTCAATAAATACAAAATTATACTATTCAAAAAAATATATAAAATGTATAAAAAATAATAATATCAAGATTTTAAGCTAAAATTTAAATTTAATTTGTTGTTAATTTAAAAAAGGAATACGCTTCACCAAAATAAAATTATAAATATTATAAAAAGACATTTTACTTCAAGAATGAATGATGTTTCCCAAAAATTTCTTAACCCCTTTTAATGTGGCATAATTACCTATTTTATTAAATTCCTAAAATATTTCCCCAACCTTTTATTTAAAATATACCTCCGTTTAAAGAGTTGTGCTCGCATTGCAATTCAAATGAATAGCTAAATACAGAACTTCGAGTGGGTGCAAAAAGTGGGTGGGTGGCAATAAATAAAGAAAAACGAAGGGGGGCCGGAAAAAGGTGAGTTTTTGTGTGGGTCAGCAGCTCAAAGTTCATTAACTTTGCGGCAAGTTTGATTTGTGCGTAATTGAACCTTTTCGCACCGACAAGTTGCTTAACTATCGGCCACCGTGATTGATGGCCAATGATTGACGGGGACGGGGCTCTGGGAATTAACTAATTAGTGATAGCTACTTGACCCCAATTAATCATGCTGATTAGCTTCACAGCCGCTTGTCAATCGGAGCTATCTATAAAACATCTATAATCTGATAAGTATCAATCAGTAAAAATAAATAACAAATATTAACTAAGATTTATACTAATTTACGTATTATTTATTTATTGTAAAACCTGCAAAAATAAACCATCAATCAACTTTTCAACAAAGATTTCCATCAAAAATCATTGAATATTCTCACAATTGTTTTTGCCACAAATTTCAAATGAACAAGAGAGAACGCTATAGTCGGGTTGTTGTCCCGACTATCTAATACCCGTCACTCAGCTAAAGGGAGTGCGAACGCTGTGTCGGGTTGGTGTCCCGACTAATAATCGTAACTCAGCTAAAGGAAGTGCGAGGGAGATAGATATATAATTTTTGATTGCATATAACTTTTTAATGAATGGTCCGATTTGAAAAATGTCTTCTACATTTCGATAGGTATAAATATACACAACAATGCATTTATACTTCTCGGAAATCTTTAAAGATGTGGGCGCAGGACCCATTTTAAGATCGTTAGTGGGCGATTGTGGGCGTTAGAGGGGGCGTGGCGATCGGCTAAAATAAACTTGCGCTGCGTAGGAAGCCAAAGAATATGTGTGGGAAATCTCAACCTTCTAGCTTTTGTAGTTTCTGAGATCTCAGCGTTCATACAGACGGACAGACGGACAGACAGACAGACAGACAGACAGACAGACGGACAGACGGACATGGCTAGATCGACTCGGCTAGTGACCCTGATCAAGAATATATATACTTTATGGGGTCGGAAACGCTTCCTTCTAGCTGTTACATACTTTTGCACGAATCTAGTATACCCTTTTACTCTACGAGTAACGGGTATAATAACAATCTTTGAGGAAATCAAGCGTACAGCAATCGGCATTCATTATTCAGCTGTTGAATCGCCCACGAATACCCAAACACAATCATTAGGCCATCAATCGGACATCATCGCCCACTCAGTGAAGCACTCATTCGCTTTCGCTGTTCATTCGCACAAACTCCAACTCAAACACTCAACATTCACTTAGCATTCACTTGGCATTCATTCATAGACAATGCCCTCGGAAACGGATTTATTACGTTTTATTTTTTATTAAAGCCAAGAACATGGAATTTCATGTCTCCAAGAGACTGTAAACATGTAGCAAATGTAAAATATATATATATAGGGAAAAGTATGAGTGAAATCGCCGCGGGTAACAGATATTGTCGTTCGATTTCCGCGGATTTACATTTTTTGCCGCTTGGTGGGGGGATAAGTAAGTTTAGCAAGAACAGAAACTGGGTTTCGCAGACAGGATACGGCGATTGGCCATTAAACTCGAGCAATTACAACGCTGAATCCATGGAGCCAAAGGCAAACATTCAATAAAGACTGTAAACTAAATAAACGAAGATGGAGGCACAGGCTCCTGACTTTCCATGGGCTCATACACAGCGAGAAATAGGATTTGTTTATGATTTTTATTTATTTTTAGGACCTAGTTCTATATTTGTATTATTTATTTTGTATTTATTCTTAAATATTGTATTTTTTAAATAGTTTGAATATTTTAATAAAAAATAAAAAAACAATTTATTTGAACTATAAAAATAAACCAACAACTTATTTAAAATATATAAAAATTAAATACAAAATTTATTTTAAGTTGCTTTACCCCTTTTTTCGCTCAGTGCCCCCGCAGGCTTTTAATTCCTTTCGAAGAGTCGATGGATTGCACCTGTTGGCATCTTATATACACAACGATGGCACATAAAATGTAATTATAAAGCATTCAAACATCCGCAGAGGGACGTTAAGAGAGGGAGGGGGTGAGGGATAATGGGGGGCAGGGAAGGTCGGTGAGTTCGAAATCGGGGAGGTGAAAACAAAGTAAGAGACTTAACACTTTGTGCGAACGCTTAACCAGCTTAAGGAGCCCGAGGAGCCAAAGGAGCCGCTGCAAGTTTTATGAGCTTTTGCCTGGTCAGGCACCCTCTATATAAATACATATATATATTTCCTTATATATGTAGCAGATATATGTGTGTATTTTGCGCATTTTTCTACATAAAACTCAATGAAGCATCCACCGACTGTCGGGTAGATAAAGAAAGAAAGAAACTGGCAGCGGCTGCTGCTGATGTGGCTCTGTGGCTCCGTCGCCCCCTTTCTCGCCGCCCCTGCCGATTTCAATTTCAAAATGTACGCTCCATTGGGCAGTGAAGACACCCCAAAGCCCCCTGCCCCGCCCCCCCTTTTGTGGCCACAAGCACACACAAAAAGTGACATTAAAAAATGGTAGCCACTTGTCAGGCCAAAGAAACGAAGTTACGAACCGGGGTTTGGGAATATTTATCAAAAACTTATCGAGAAAGCGTTGCTATCACAGTAGCGGGGTCACGCGGCGTATGCGTTATGTAAAATTTATATTTAAAATCCCGGCGAAAAATCAACAAAAAACAGCCGACGCATTTTGATTGGTTTTTTTTCTGGTTTCTTGTTTCTGCTTTTCGGTGGTTAATTAAGGGACACGTGTCCCAAAACCGACATTAAAATGCATGACATTTTCTATTTCTCGTCGACTAGGGAATTTAAATTATGAGCGATGATTTCAGTAAAGAGAAAAAAAATATAATAAATAATTGTAATCCCTTTTAAATGTTAAATAGCATTGAAAATCATTAAAATTGGTTCCCTTAATTATAAATTTAACCAAAATGTAAAAAAATAAATTATAATATACAAAAAATACTTGTAAACCTATTTGAATGCATTAAAAATGATTATTTTATTTATTCTTTCCTTTTTTAATAGAATATCTACATAAGAATAATGTAGACGTTCACTTCATCAAGTTAAATTATTTAAAAATGGTTTTTTAGTTATTTTACTATAGTTTTATCAACAGCTGTTTGTATTTGTATCTTTTAGCCCCAAAAAAAGAGAAAAGGAAAAGAGAAAGATATTAATGATGGACAGGACATGTAGGAGATACTTGTAGTTAGATGTGTATCTAAATAGGGCATCGATAAATCTGCCCGAAAAAAATACTCTCCCTGCTCGCTTGACCCACATTTCGCTGCAAAGTTTTGTTTTATTTATTTTTCTTTACTCGAGCCAATTGCGTTTTCAGTTTTCAGTTAGGTAAGAATAAGAAACTCGCCCAGAGATTGTGTTTTTTGTCCTTTTATTTATCTTATATTTTGCTTCTTTTATTTTCTTTTTTTGCCCCGGTGCGTGGTCCTTTTCGCAGTTTTCTTTTCGTTTTGTTAGGCAATCCCTTATCAACGATTATGTCAAATGTTTTGGCCACTAAGTAGCCGAAACTGCTGTCCACCCGGCTCGTCCTTTGTCCTTTTTTTTGGACTCCGTCTTAAGACCGCAACAAGGAG